GCACCATCTGGGTATCTTTATTGTAGACGTTTCGCCATCCAGTGGCTTTATCAATACAAATTCCAGGACATAACTTGAAGACAGTAGAACTATATATAGAAAATGAGGTAATCAGAATCTACACGACTACGGTGCTCTTCGCACCAACTCCAAGGTTGAGGGACTGATTACCTCATTATCTGTATATAGTTCTACTGTCTTCAAGTTATATCCTGGAATTTGTATCGATAAAGCCACTGGATGGCGAAACATCTACAATAAAGATATCCAGATATTGCACATGTGTCTTAGTTCCATCTTGTCAGTATTGTATACCATTCTTGTACAACAGATCCCCACTCGGATTTAGCCCCATTTATGGACACCCTCCGTTTCCTGTCTGTGAACCATGACTCGATCCATGGCAGCACTTTTCCCTCAATGCCATGAGCTGCCACTTTCTTTAACAGTCTCTGGTGTGGAACTATCAAAAGCCTTACTAAAATCTAATAATATCAAATTCTTTATCGTGATCAACAGCCTTAAAAGCTTTACTGAAGAAAGTTAATAAATTGGTTAGACAAGAACGGCCTCTCGTGAATCCACGCTGAGTATCATTAATCAGATTATGCTTATCCAGATGGCTTCTTATAGTCTCGGCTATAGTTGACTCTAGCAATTTGCCTACAATTGAGGTCAGGCTTATTGAGCGGTAATTTGACGGTAACGACTTATCCCCTGATTTAAAAATAGGAATTACATTAGCTATCTTCCACATATCAGACACTACACCTGTTTGAAGAGATAAATTAAAAATATTAGTTAATGGTTCACAGAGTTCCATTTTGCATTATTTAAGAACCCTTGAAAAAAGCTCATCAGGTCCCGGCGACTTTTGGTTCAGTCGGTCTATTTGTTTCATAACCATTTCACTAGTGACTGTGATGTTACATAATTTATCTTTTTCAGGCCCACTATAAAAATTAATTACTGGGATATTGTTAGTGTCTTCCTGTGTAAAAACCGAGATAAAATAATTATTTAAAATCGAGCACATTTCGTTCTCTTTGTCAGTAAGATGTCCATAGTTATTTTTAAGGGGCCCTATCTTATCTCTAAACTTTTGTTCTGTACACCTGGAAAAACTTTTGGGTTAGTTTTAGAATCCCTAGCAACTTTAATTTCATACTCCCGTTTAGCTTTTCTTATCCCCTTTCTAACGTCCCTCTTAATGTAAATACATATACTGATTCATAAGATGATCCTCACCTCTTTTGATACGTCTATAAACTCCTTTCTTCTGCCCTAAAAGATATTTGAGCCTATTCATCCATTTTGGGTCATTTTTATTCAATCTAATTTCTTTATACGGGATAAATGTTCTTTGGGCAGCATGTACAGTGTTCAGAAAGCTGTCATATTGATAGCTCTCTTCGTTACCCCAGTCAACAGATGATAAGTGTTCTCTAAGCCCATTGTAATCTGCTAAGCGAAAATCTGGAACCATTACTGAATTATCCCTACTGCCATACTTCCATTCTATGCTAAAGGTAATTGATTTGTGATCGCTTGTGCCGAATTCCTCTGTAATTTCTAAATTATTAACAAGGGTTTCCTTATTTGCCAGAACCAAGTCAAGCAGGTTATTTCCCCTTGTAGGTTCTGTCACAAACTGCTTCAAAAAACAGTCCTGAACTACTTCTAAGAAGTCATTAGTTTCTAAATTCCCAGTCAAGAAATTCCAATCAATCTGATTAAAGTTAAAGTCCCCTAGAATTACTACATTATCGTGCCTTGTGGCCTTAATAATTTCCTCCCATAGTAATCTCCCTTGGTCCCTATCTAAGTTTGGGGGACGGTATATCACTCCTAGAATCAATTTTTCATGCCCCTCTGAAAATTCTATCCAGACTCTGTATGTGTTACTTCAGACTTAATACCTGTTTTTATACAACCGTTCAAGCGATCTCGGACATAAAGTGCCACCCCAACCCCCTTCCCGATACTTCTATCTACTTGGAACAATTTAAAACCCTGAATGTGACATTCCACAGGCATGTCCCAACTTGTGGAATTAAGCCATGTCTCAGTGATGGCAAACACATCAATGTTACCTGCACTAGCAACTAATCTCAACTCGTCCATCTTAATCCTAGCACTACGGCTATTAGTATAATATATTTTTAAAGACCCTTATTTCTCTTTACCTTCCTGCTCATTTCCGTTTTTCCACTAAACCTTTTACTGTCCTTGTTACCTAGTGCCAATGGCTTTCCAATATCCACCCCATTTTGCCTATTACTAGTTCCTCTAGAACTCATATTACTACACTGGGACTTCACTGTATTCCTGCCAAAACCCATACCACTAACTATTCCTAGTTTAAAGCCCTAATAGCTCCCCCCACTGCAGTTGCCAGTGCCCCCACCCCAGACCTAGATAAGTGAACCCCATCCCTGGCATACATGTCATTTCTGCCATAGAAGAGGACCCAATTATCAATGAATGTTACTGCATTATCCTTACAGTATTTGTCCAGCCAGCAATTGACACCAATTGCCCTGGACAACCATTCGTTTCCAACTCCTCTCCTTGGCAAAATACCACATATGACAGGATTCCCACCCTTCTTCCTAATTATTTCTATTGCTGACCTATACCTACTAATCAGGTCCTCACTCCAACGTCTGCCAACATCGTTACCTCCCGCACTGAGGCAGATAATAGGATTGCTCCCATTACCTTTCATGATGTTGTCCAGATGGCTAACAATATCCCCCATCCTAGCCCCAGGAAAACATACCCTCTGCCTCCTCTTCCTGTCCCTAAGACAAAAGGCCCTATCCATAAACTTAACCTGACTGTCTCCAAGTAAAACAATGTTCTTACCTTCACCTGTGGAATTCGTCGTGACGTTCTCGATGGTCTTCGTTGGGGTTTCAAGGGATGTCTCGCTCTGTCAATGTTTCCTTGGTGCTCATTGTGAAATTCCCAGTAGACAACCCACATTCGTCAGGTAGCACCAAAAATGGGTTGGAAGTTTCCACAGTCGTCTTCTGGTTCTTTGCTGTTTCTGCCTCTTCAACAGTCTTCTTGATCCTCAGCTTGGTTCCATATTGCCCGGCCACTGACCAGGTTCCCCTCTTAACCTGAGGACTCACAACAGGAGGATTACTACGAATCCTCTTGTTCTCCTCTGTTAATCACCGTATCTCCAGCTTAGCAACCCTAAGCTCCTCTTTTAGCTGCTGGTAGAGTTGCACGAGAGAGAACATCTTGGTTCAGATTCACAGAGAGCACACAGACAAGTTTTCACAGAGCTAAGTACAGGTCACCAATGAGCTAAGTACAGGTCACCGCTGAACTAAGTACAGGTCACAAGTCTTGCGTTTCTGTAGTTGATTAATTGTTTGTGTGAATTTCGGTGTTGAACACAGGCATTCCTTAAATTGTCAGATCTGCCTGCGTACTGGTGTTCTGAAATACGTGTTTGGAGGTCTCTGGATGTTTTGCCCACACATAATTTGCTGCAGTCATTACAAGGGATTATGTATACCCTGCAGAGGATTGAAGTTTGTCCTGTCTATTACTGGTAATGTCCTTGATGGTGGTGGATGTGGAGGTAGATACTTGGAATGAGGTATTGGAAAAGATGTTGGAAACGTGTTTGGCAATGGAGTTGGTGGGAAGGACTATGTATCTTTTCTCGGTAGGTGTGTTAAAGATGTTTAATGCCCGTCATCTGCAGTCTCTAATGAAGTGACGAGGAAGTTAGTGAAGATAGGAGTGAATGGAGACAAATGGTTTTTGGGATCTGATGAGCTGCCGAGTGTGAGCAGGGTAATATTTTGTGAGGGGATTCGGGAAAACTGGTTAGCCAGACTTAGAGTCCTGAAGGTGGGAAGTACAATGCCTGCACTTTAAAAGGAGGGGTTTGGGATATTGGGTGTTTGGAGGGACATCTAAACTGTAGTATCTGAGCGCCTCTGAAAAGACAGTGATTATGTATGAGTGATGGTGAAAGTCTTGAAATAAAGTTTTTTCTTTCTTTCTGGGTTTTTCTTTCTTTTTTGGGTCACCCTGCCTTGGTGGAAAATGGCCGTGTTAAAAAAAAAAAAGAAATAGAAGGAAACTCAGATGGGTGTGTACACGTGTGTGTACATGCATGTATTAGTATTATGGGAGCACTAAACCCATAAGGATTATACAGCACATGGAGGGAGGATGGAAGGCATTCAGCTTAATCCAGGATATTGGAGCACAGATCCAATTCCCTAGATCAAGAGCCCCTCACCAGCACTAAGGAGCCTCCCTTGAGGGGCTACATGCATGTAGAAGTAACAAGATTTACAGTACTTTATTATTATTATTAAATTTAAGGAAAGCTCTAAACCTAAAGGAGTCACACAGCATTTGGGAAATAAGAGGAAATCAGAGTTGATCCAAGGGAAAGACAGATTCAGTTTCTTTGAGAACCCATTATGATCTGAGTATACTGTACATACAATGCATCTAATTTAAAAGCTTACTGATAATGTAAGTACAATGTTACCATTTTTTTTTTCTAGTTACTTTTGCCATTTCCATCGCTACTTCATGACAAATTATTTTATATTTACTGAATCATAAAATCCCAATGACATTTTCTGCTCTCCTTTCTCAAAGAAAATGTATTCACAATCATTTACTCCCGCGATGCCTGTCAAAGGTGGTACAAACATCACATTCATCAACATTGATCCACTAAGCTGCAATATCCCAACCCAACTTTGAAAGTCTACTGCACCTCCTGTGTCCAAAACTCTATTGCCAATACAGCTCAGTACTGCTCTCAATGTCTGCTAGATGTTAATTAAGTGAAACAAAATTCTCTACTTTAAATTTTTTTTATTTGTATAAACAGCAAGTATGTGATAAACATTAAAATCTGACAACAAATGTTATGTTTGAGATCTGTATGAGCAAAACACTAATATCCCCACAATCTTGAAAAATAATAAATTTACAGTACCATAAAAAAAATAGTAATCAAAGAAAACAAAGAAGAGCATGGCCATTGTTTATAAGCCTGACTAGCTAGTCCATGGGCCATTTTCAAAAAAGGACTCAGTTCAAGTATCCATCTTCATATAGTAACAACCGATGCAAATGCAATTCTGGCTCATATTCACAATATCAAGAGCATAGCAGATAATGTTATAATACATAATATAAAGCATAAAATAAGTAGCATTGCAATGCTGGTCACAAATTAAATGTTTATGTTTTACTTTTACCAAATCAAATTCATTAATTTAGCAAGTTTTTTTTTTTTTTTAATTTTTATACATGAAAAGTCATGGAAGTTGATGATTTAGTGTTTTGTATTTTCTTTAAGATTTACAACAAAGATCATAATCACTGTTATATTATATATATAGGTACAGCACAGCTCAATATTAAATAACAGAAGTTATCTACTAGCAATTAAAAAAAAATCCAAACTAATAACCCAACTTTGAAGAAAGCAGCAACTGCAAATCACCTTTACCAACTTATTTTATGCTTTAGAATGTAAAATATATATATTTAACTTCAACCAAATTGTGAGTAGAACACTTGACAACTACATATACCTCAGTTGGTTCTATAGTTGGTAGAATGTACGTATTACTGCAGTGTTTTCTGAATACAGCCCAGTATCACATCAAAGTTTTGTGCTCGAGTGAAAAATTACAGGACATGAATAGACCTGTAAAAACAATAACAAATAACAATTACAATTGCAAAGTTCTCACTTAAAAAGAAATACCTTCTTACCAGTAATACCACCAAAGACGATCAAATTCACATTAGTGTATAAAACACAGAGATCTACAAATTCACTTATGAAAGACATCATAGGACAAGGTTTCCAAAGTATTTTTTAATGGAAATTTTGAGCTCATCACACGAGACTCAACAAGAGTTAACAACCACTGGTGCTGATACTAATATGAACTGCAAAGCTGGTTTCTCATTTTAAAAATATCTCCTTTTATTACGTTGTAGGTTGCATCATTAAAATAACTTCAGTTTTACTAACAAAATGACTTTCTTGCTGAAAGACTTATTAGTCCAGTATACCAGGAATTTGACACTACAAAGGGATATGCTTATTATGAATCTGCAGCTTAAAAAAAAAATATTCATCAACAACTGGATGGACATAAAACTGGAGCACACAATTCTGTAGATAGTGAGCAAGATTGAGCCAGACTCAAATAAGTCTACACTTCAGAATACTATATATACACCAACTGAAGGCAGTCATCTAGTGGCTAAACTTCTCATAAACATTCTTAAACTCTGACCTAATATTCTAAACAAATTTATGAGCACCGATTCTTTGTAGAAATAATAAATTTTCAAGTTTCCAAGCGGAGTGGAAGTCACACCTCCAAGCTGGCTGTCACATTACCAACTTGGTGGGCCTTCACTACTTAGGAATGCCAGACAGCTTCAGTCATGAGTTATTGGCCAGGCTGACTAGTAAGCTGAGGCAGATGACAGCCCACCACCTCTCCCTTCTTGTTTCCCACCAGTAACTGCAAAGATACATTCATTAAAGGATAAGATACATACAATGTTACATTTACCATTGTCTTAATGTATTTCAAACTGAAACAAACTGCATATTAGGAATATATGGTACTAATGTATATTTTCCTTTTCAACGAACTGGCCGTATCCCACCAAGGCAGGGTACTTAATTATGCTGAACTAATAGAATAAAATAAGTTAAACATATATGCAAAGACATTTAAATTTTAGTGCTATGTCTTTCACGCTGCATGGGGCTTCATATCATGCTTTACATTACCTTGTAATCTACAAACTCTGAATGTTCTGAGTAATATTCACATTGCACATTAACCTCAAACACAACATCTCTACTGTCTCCAGCCTCCTTGCTGCAGCATAAACATCAACATCAATACTGTACAAAACTTACTCTGTCTTTATACAATGCTGAGCAAATGAACATTTTATTTGTAGCTTCAACTGGTATTCTTTGTAGAAGCTGGCCAGTCTGTGAAAGAAATATTAAATTAAAAATTGAATAATACAATTGACATACATTGTCAAAGGGAAGAGGAAAGTGGAAATACAGAGTATAATAATGCAACAACAATATTAATGCAGTTGATATTCACTATTCGTCAAGTCACATCTTACTAATTAAAGAGAATATTAAACATACAGCCAGACAAAATATTCGGACAAGTCCATCATAACAGGTGGCAACTAGGTGACTTTTATAGATGCTGAGACAAGACACATCTGCCTCACTTGCTATGTGACCTCTGCTGCTACCCGTCTGAAAAAAAAAAATGAGTATTAATGTTTTTTATCACAGAATAAAATTAAATACATTAAATAAATATATAAAACTGTATGTATAGTATATATGGTATCTCAGATCAGGCCTTCTAAACTGGAAAGAAATACAGCAAACCTTTTATATAGTAAACAAAGGCTTGATAAAATAAACTAAACCCTGTACATGTTGAAGTATCAGTTAACGACTCGGTAGTGTTTTCTAGCAGTAGCTTCCCCATACATCACACCAAGTCAGTTCATGTTACAATCACGAAAATCACTTTTATAATCCTGAAGTAATTGACATTCCATTCAATGGATACCAGTTCCCACTATTAATTCACTATATTGTGGATTCACTGTACCTGTATTACAAGAATAAACACAACTGTATTAAGACATACACAGGAATTAAAAAATCACTACATTCAGTGTAATTAGAAGTTTGTAAGATTTATGTGCCATATTACAGGTTCATTAAACAAAAGAAAAAATCAGCAATCTTTCCTGAGTACAAAACATTTAAGACAATTCCGTTTCACACTCATATGACAGGATGGTAGTATTGTACTTTCTTGGATGCTTGCTGTCTTCCAACTCACTATGTGTGCCTTCATAATCACATGTACAATTCAACACCACATCAAAAATTACAGATATGAAATCATCAGTACTTTGTACTCGAGTCTTTATTATTTTTTTTAATACATCGGTCGAGTTCCACCAAGGCAGGGTGGCCCGAAAAAGAAAAACTTTCATCATCATTCACTCCATCACTGTCTTGCCAGAGGGGTGCTGTACACTACAATTATAAAACTGCAACATTAACACCCCTCCTTCTGAGTGCAGATACTGTACTTCCCATCTCCAGGACTCAAGTCCGGCCTGCTGGTTTCCCTGAATCCCATACGATACTGTTGCTAATCCCAACAGCACATCAAGTATAAAAACTCTTGTCCTCCAACTTTTACCTACAAATACTCCCCACTAAATTTGTCTGAAGCAACTCTCGACAACAATCTCCTTACCTTCTCCCCCCAAACCTTTGTAGGCTGACCTACCTTTTTCCCACCTACTTTAATTACACCTTGAAGCTCATTATTTCTCCATATCTTCTACTGTCTGAACACCTCAACAACCTCTCCTCAGCCCTCAAAAACATTTGGTAACCCCGCACTCCTCCTATTCCAAACTATGAATTCTCGTGCATTATATTCACACCACATTGCCCTCGGTGACATCTCTGCCTCCACTTCTCTCGCTGCACATCATACCTGTTCACACCCATATAAGAGTGGTAAAAACACACTCTCATACATTTCCCTCTTTGCTTCCATGGACAAGTTTTTTGTCTCCACAGATTCCTAAGTGCACTGCTCACCTTTTTCCCTCATCAATTTTATGATTAACCTCATCTTTCACAGACCTATCCGCTGACACGTCCACTCCCAAATATCTGAATACATTCACTTCCTCCACACTCTCTCCATCCAATCTGATATCCAATGTTTCGTCACCTAATCTTTTTGTTATCCTCATAACCTTACTCTTTCCTATATTCATTTTTATATTTTCTTCTTTTACATACCCTCCCAAATTCATCCACCAGCCTCTGCAACTTCTCTTCAGAATCTCCCAAGAGCACAGTGTCATCAGCAAAAATGCAACTGTGACAACTCCACTTTGTGTTTGATTCTTTATCTTTTACTCCACACCTCTTGCCAAGATCCTTGCTTTCACTTCTCTTACAACCCCATCTATAAATATACTGAACAACCCGGTGACATCACACATCCTTGTCTAAGGCCTACTTTTACTGGGAAATAATATCCCTCTTTCCTATGTACTCTAACCTGAGCCTCACTGTTCTCATAAAAACTCTTCACTGCTTTCAGTAACCCACCTCCTATACATACACCTGCAACATCTGCCACATTGCCCCCCCCCCATCCACCCTGTCATATGCCTTTTCCCAAATCCATAAATGACACAAAAACCTCTTTAGCCTTATCTAAATACTGTTCACCTATGTTTCACTGAAAACATCTGGTCTACACACCCCTTACCTTTCCTAAAGCCTCCTTGTTCATCTGCTATCCTACTCTCCATCTTACTCTTAATTCTTTCAATGATAACTCTACCATACACTTTACCAGGTATACTCAACAGACTTGTCCCCCTATAATTTTTGCACTCTCTTTTGTCCCCTTGCCTTTATACAAAGGAACTAAAGCATGCTCTCTGCCAATCCCTAGGTACCTTACCCTCTTCCATACATTTATTAAATATTAACACCAACCACTCCAAAACTATATCCCCACCTGCTTTTAACATTTCTATCTTTATTCCATCAATCCCAGTTGCCTTACCCCCTTTCATTCTACCCAATGCCTCATCAACTTCCCCCCCATTCACAACTGGCTCTTCCTCACTCCTACAATATGTTATTCCTCCTTGCCCTATACAGGAAATCACAGCTTCCCTATCTTCATCAACATTTAACAATTCCTCAAAATATTCCCTCCATCTTCCTGACACCTCTAACTCTCCATTTAATAACTCTCCTCTCCTATTTTTAACTGACAAATCCATTTATTCCCTAGGCTTCCTCAATTTGCTAATCTCACTCCAAAACTTTTTCTTATTTTCAACAAAATTTGTTGATAACATCTCACCCACTCTCTCATTTGCTCTCTTGTATCTATGAAACTCCAGCACACTCTCATAACTAGATTTGTTTTGTAAAATTCACATTACTGTTAATGATTATTACAGTTCTGTACAAGTTTTAATTTTGTCTCAGTGTGTTTTCACATCATATTGACATTGTTATACACAAAATGCATTACTGCTTGCACTTGTTTACATTAAAACTTTTAGTCCATGTCTCAACTCACAGCACCAATATACTGTACTTAGGTCCCACTGAATACCTATGAATTCAGCAACATGCATGACTGAAGCTACCCTTTAAGACCCTTTCTTAGTGCTCTGGATTATACCTTCTGTAACCTTGCAATCTTCTAATTTCTACACTCAGAATTCTCTGCATAATAATAGTTTTCTCCCAAACTGATTAAAATTTCAAGTACACATAACGTGATCTAAATTTTGCAATGTGTCTGCTTTTACAAAGAAAGGAAGGAACTAACCGTGAAGTCATAGTAGACAATGGCTTTGTTGGAGCCACCAGTGTAGAGAAGTCCTCCATGTGACACAGTTGCATAAACTGTCAGCTGGATGTGCTCTAGGGTGCGCAGAAACAGACCTACACACACAAATGCAATCACATCAGCACTAGTCTACTTATTAACTTCATTATTTGCAAAGCATTAAAATTAGAAAAATACACAGGAAAAATTACATGTGGAGGATATGTAAAATTTAAGACTGGAAAGAGCCAATTTGGTGAATATGAAGATGCAGATGAAGTCCTTGCATTTTAATTAAGTAAATTCTCCAACATTAAATGAGTTGTGTATCTTCACGTCTTCAAGACCTACGATGGTATCACTGCAGGTACTCTACTCTTAACTAGAACTCTACAATTTTCAGGATAAGAGGCCTGATACTGTTATAAAACCAGGTATATGGTTACTATATTTAGAAGTCTCTGCAGTCATGGTGACTACTTACTGGAGGAGTTTGCTTTCATGAATTTTAGTGTACATCAAACCATATTACGGGTGGGGCTTGAACCCGCAGTCAGTCTGAGGGTTCAAGCCCCACCCGTGGTATGGTTTGTTTGCAATCATGTCACTTCGTTTAGTGCACATCTCTTGCACACTGAGTTAGGAAAGTTCTGAATGCGCCTTTGTACATTCATTTGAAGACCCGGCTGTTGAACAACAAGCATCTTGTCTTCCTTTTATGCTTCACATCCATACATAAATTATTAGATTATGATAAGAGCACTGCATAGTGTATACAAGGAGCAGGGTCCTGCTTCCCATGTTGGGTGCAAAAAATGTTTAGGTAGGTCCTTATTTTTTAAATATGGAGAAGGTACCCCTTTATTAACATTACAGTATTTTCATTAACTTGAAGTCAGTACCTGACCTGCCAGATTGTGGTTCATATGTTGGTTTGTGTGCAACTGGCAATAACAGCATGGGTGCTCAGCCCGATCCACCATGAGGCCTGGTCATAGACTGGGCTGCGGGGGCAGTGACCCCAGGAACACTCTCCAGGTAGACTCCACGTAGGTGGACTCTCATGTTTAATCCTTTAACATTTAACATTTTAGCCTCAACGGCAGACTGTATTATTTATACGGCACCTTAAACAATCAATGTACACCCTTACTCTGCCATGCTTGTAATTTATTTTGCATTTAATCATTATTGGAAAAACCCCTATGATAAGTGATGAACTTGCATTTTCAAAGCCCCTTTCTCAAAAAAATTTCCCCCAAACTTAAAATTTAACACCATGTTTTTCCTTTTTAACCTTATCTCAAAGATTTTTGGGTTGTAAATCTCATTCTTTTCCCAAACATAATAATTTTTTATGAGACTGAGGACCCCTTCCCGTAAATAGCACTCTGATCATGAGGGAGTATTTTTGGCAGAAAACAAGCAGTACTCGGGGCCCCCCTTTTGTCGGGCCCTTTTTAAGTTTTGTTACTGTTTAAACCACAGAACTGCCACCATCCCCCCGGCACACCCTTGCCCTTTTTGGAAAGTGTTTTTCATTAGGGAAACCCGATTAACACAATTTTTTTTTATTACACAAAATATGTCCTATTTTTTTTTAAAGTGAACGATTTAAAAGACTTTGAAAAAAAATTTTTTTTGAACCCAAAAATTTTTTTTAATCATCTTATTAATTTTTTTACACATTTTACTTTCATGAAAAAATTACACTGGCAAAAAAGGTTTTATTATTTTAAATACTAGTTTCTAACTAATTTGTGATACTGAATTTCAAAACTGAACTTGGCTTTGCTCCAACACATAAAAGTTTCTGAAAAAAAGAACTCCCCCAGTAACAATTTCCCCAAGACTAGCCCTAAGGAAAAAATTTATCACAAAAACCCTGAGATCATTTTGATGGCCTTTTCCCCCGGGCGGGGCACTGGTGCTGTAGAACAACACTAAATACAAAAAAAAAAGTTTGAAAATGCGTATTATATACATGTTTCTCCCAACTGTAAAATTATTGCAATCTCAATTTGGGAACTCCCCCTCTAAAAATACATTCGAAAAAATGCACAAGAAAAAAATCTAGGTTATTGTCATTCTTTAAAATGTATAAATTTATTTGCTCAACTTTTTTTTTTTTTTTCAACAAGTCGGTCGTTTTCCCACCAGGCAGGGGACCCAAAAAAAAAAAAGAAAATCCCCAAAAAAAAAAATACTTTCATCATAAATTCAAACACTTTTCACCACACCAAAATTTACCCACTGTTTTTTGCAGGGCCCACAGAATACAACAGCTTAGAAGCATATACGATAAAAGATACCCAACAAAACCCCCCAAAACCTCCCAAATACCCCAAAAACCCCCCCTTTTTAAAGTGAGGAAATTGAAATTTCCCCCTTTCCCCAGGACTCAAGCCCCCACAATATGAAAAAAACCCGGGTTTTCCCTGAATCCCTTCACTAAATTTTCCCTGCCACACTCCAAAGATCGTCCGGTCCCAAGTATCATTCGTCTCCTTTTCATCCTATTTTAAACAACGCCATGCACGCTTGTGGAAGCCCAAACCCCCCTCGCCCAAAAACCCCCCCTTTACCTCCCTTTCCAACCCTTTCGGGGACGACCCCTACCCCTTTTTCCCTTCCCCCTAAAAGATTTTAGGGCTTTCCAGGTCATTCTACTTTGATCCTTTCTCTAAAGGCCCAAAACCACCTCAACAAACCCTTTTGTCCCCTTGACAAATTTGGTTTTTTAACCCCACCCCTTTCTCCTAATTTCCACACCCCGGGAATTTTCTGCATAATATTTAAACACATTCCCTTTTTGACAGGACATCTCCACTGCCTCCAACCGCCCTCCTCCCTGCTGCATTTACCACCCAAGCTTCAAAAACCCATATAAAGTGTTGGTACTAATACTTTCATACATTCCCCTTTTTTCCTCCATAAAATAACGTTTTTTTGGGCTCCACATATCCTCAACCACCCCCTCACCTTTTTTTCCCTCCCCTTTAATTCTATGATTAACCCAAACCTTCATAAATCCTCCCCCCGGGCACGGCAACTCCCCAAATATCTGAAAAAACACTTCTTCCATACCCCCCTCCCCCAAATTTTTAAAATCCATTTTTTTTTTATCTAAATCATTTTTTCCCCCATCACCTTACTTTTTTTCCCATGTTCACCCTTTTAACTTTCTACCTTTTAAAAACATTCCAAACTCCCACAACCTTTGCAATTTTTTTTTTAGAATCTCCCATAAGCACAGTATCATCACAAAAAATAACTGTGGGCAAATTCCCCATTTTGAATTTGATTCCCCCTAATTTTTAAACCCACCCCTCTCCCCAAAAACCCTAGCATTTTACTTCTTTTACAACCCCATCATAAATTTTATTAAAAAACCCTGGTGACATTTAAAACATCCCCGGGCTAAGAACCCAAATTTTTTCCGGGAAGTATTTTTTCCCTCTCTTTTACCCCACCTAACCCCGGCCCCCACTATCCCATAAAAGCCTTCCCCTTTTCCCAATTTTGTAACTTACCACCTATTCCATAAACTTGCAACCCTCTGCCACATTGCTCCTTATCCCACTCTATCATATGCCATTTCTAAAAACCCTAAAAGCAATAAAAACTTCCCCACCTTATCTAAATACTGTTCAATTTTTATGTTTTTAAAGTAAACACTTGATCTACAAAATCCCCCCTACCCCCCTCTGAAACCCTCCTTGCCATCCGCCAAATTCCCAAAATTCCGTTTTTACCTTTTAATTCTTTCAAATTTAAATCACCGTATACTTTTTCCCCCGGTTTATCCAAATAAAAATATTCCTCTTAATTTTTTTTCAATTTTCTTTTGGGGCCCCTTTCCCCTTTATATAAAGGGACTATTTAAAAGCTCTCCCCCCCAAACCCCAGGTACCTTCCCCCCCTTTTATAAAATTTATTAAAAAAAAGGGACCAAAACCCCTCCAACACTATATCCCCCCTGCTTTTAACAAATTTTTGTCATGATCCCATCATTCCAGCTTTCTTTTACCCCCTTTCAATTTTACGTAATGCCGCACGTACCCCCCACCACATTACAAAACTGCTTTCTTCAAACCCTAAAAGATTGGGAACCTTTCCCCGGCCATTTCCCTGAAAAAATTTCCGCCCCCCTTTCTTCCTCAAAATTTAAAAAATTCCTCAAAAAAATTTTCGCCATCTTTCCTAATACTTCCCTCTCCCCCCCCTACTAACTCCCCTACTCTGTTTTTAACCCACAAATCCATACTTTCCCCCTAGGCTTTTTTAACTTGTTTAACCACTCCAAAATTTTTTCTTATTTTCATTAAAATTTCTTGACAGTGCCTCTCCCATCTTTCATCTGCTCCCCTTTTGCACTCTCTACCACTTCTTTAAACCTTTCTTTCTCTCCATATACTTGCTCTTTTTTTTAACATTCTGTTTTGTAAAAACCTCTCGTAGCTCCCTTTTTCTCTTTTATCCACCCTTTACTTCATTTCCCCCCAATCACTCCTCTTTCCTCCGGGCCCCCCCCCTATAACCAAAAAACTTTGCCCCCTTTTAAATAGCTTTTTAAAACATTCCAACCTCTTCAACCCCCCCACTATTTCCCTTTGCACTAGCCCCCTTTTCTGTCAATAGTCGCTTATATCTCCCCGAACTTCCTCCCCCCTTATTTTATAATTTCCCCTCCCTCTTACTTGTTTTTTCCCAAATTCCTTTTTTTCCCACTACCTCTTCTCTAACTGTCTACAACTAAAAAATGATCTACATATCAGTTGCCCCCCTTAAAACATGTACATCCTGGACCCTACCCATAAACCCTTTTTATCCCCCAATTAATTAACAAATATTTCATTACGTGCTACATCATACCTTGTATATTTATTTATCCCTTTTCATTTAAAAAATTTTATTTTATTACCAAAATTTTTTTCTACACATGCTAATTAAAGGGGTCCCCATTTTACTTTCCCCTGGCACCCCAAATTTACCCAATACTCCTTCATGCATTTTTTCCCACTTTAGCATTAATCCCCAACCAAACATTACTCTCACATTGATTCAAAACTCCCCAGCATTCACTCAACATTCCCCGAATTTTCCTCTTCCCCTACACTTCTTTCTTCTCCAGGGCATAAACTTACATAACCCCCTTTTCACATCCCAAACTTTATTTTACTCCACAAATCCTTGAAATTTTGCATTTTTGTCCCCCTTTTTCCCGCCCCTAGTTATCCTTAACATTATTGCTACTCCTTCTTTAGCCTTTCTCTATTTGAAACCCCCGCCAATCCCATTTATTCCTCTCCATTTAAACTCTCCCCCCCCCTTCACTAACATTACTAATTTTTTAAAAAATAATCAGAAAAAACTTCTACCTTATCTTTAAAGGCTTTATGCCTCCAATTAACTTCCCCCGAAGGGTGTATGTAGTTTCCTTTGAAGTCTTAAGTATCAAAACCACTAAGGAGGACTTTTGTTTATAAAAGGATTTACTACATAGTAATTTTTTTTTTTTTCCATTTTTCTTTCAAAAAACCGGGCCCTATCCCCCAAGGCAGGGTGGCTCAAAAAAAAAAGAAAAAATTTCTCTTTTTAACTTTTAGTATTGTATATAGGATTAGGAGTTACTAGCCCCTTGCTCTCAGCATGTTAGTCACCTCTTACGACACGCATAACTTATGGAGGAAGAATTCTGTTCCACTTCCCCATGGAGATGAGGAAATAAACAAGAACAAAAACTAGTAAGAAAATAGAAGAAAACTCAGAGGAGTGTGTATATACAGTACATGTATATGCTTGTAAATGCATGTGTAGTGTGACCTAAATGTAAGTAGAAGTAGCAAGACATACCTGAAATATGCATGTTTATGAAACAGAAAAGACACCAGCAATCCTACCATCATGTAAAACAATTACAGGCTTCCGTTTAACACTCACTTGGCAGGACGGTAGTATGTACCTCCCTGGGCGGTTGCTGTTTATCAACCTACTACCTAGGTCTGGTGCCATCTGTTAACAGTTATGTCAATAGTTTTATACAAAATAATCTATCTTTACCTTGAAGTTCCATCTTGCACCACAGCCGCCTTCGGTTCCGAGGAAGAGTTGACCCCAAGATATGTCCAGACACCGTACACCCTCACCTACCTCACACCGCTGTTTTACCATGCCATTCTGTAATAAATAAATTACATTAATTAATAGAGAATGATTAAGAAAACTTTTTGTAATATTTCTTGTGAGTACAGACTGTGTGCACAAAATTATATACAAAAAATACTTTACATTATTTATTTAAACAGGAAATAAACTACATATATGGTTTACTGAAGTAAAGTGCCTTACCATGCCATTGAATATGCATATGGTTTTATCTGCTGATCCTGTAATGACCTGAAATTCTTGTGAACCTGTGGCAAAATCAGGCTTGCCAACAACTCCTACACATGTCACAACGTCAGTGTGGTCAACATATGTAGCCATAACACGACCTGATGTCATGTCATAACATCTTGCAGTGCCATCACCAGATGCAGTTATCACAAAGTCTCCAACAACCTGCAGATTCAAATTATTATTATTTTCACTTCAAAGATTCAGTACAAATTTCCCAATTTTCAATATGAAAAATCTCACTACTTAGCAAGCTAAGAGAGAGCATGCACACATACGTGCACACAACACTCTTTATTCTGTTTTAGCAATCTACACATCAACATTATTAAATTTATGGAGGGGAGAGATGCACTAAACCCCCAAGAATCCTACACACCTGGAAGAACAGAAGGCAAGCAGGTTTTGATCCAAGGAAGGAGAGGCCAGATCCAATTCCTTGCATCAAGAGACCTATACTTGCATCAAGAAATCTCCCTTGACAGATATGATACAGTACATAAGACTACCTCAAGAAAAATTTTACATCTGTTGTCTGCTCATGAGAAGGAAATGATATCTTGAGCTTAAACACACAGATGAACTTTGAAATTTTATTTAAAATTTTCCAAGATAAATTAAAGATTTGAGAGATGCCAACACAGCAGGCACACCTTAATGGCTTTCCAAATTCAAAGGAAGAGGATGTGAGTGGAAATGCAGTACAGAAGTAGGAAGGCAGTTAAGTGCAACCAAGTAGAAGCTCTGATATGAAGTAGAGTACAGTAGTGTATGTAGAAAAGATGAATAAATATTAGAGAAATGCGAAGAATCAGAATGCATTAACAAATCTTTTCACATTTTACCTTAATATCCAACACTGCACAACCATGGGATGGGGGACTGATAAACACATGTTCATCTCCAGAACTCTCCATAACTTCATCAGTATCCACATTGTGGTCAGTAACAACTTTTCCCAGCAAACTTAGAGAACTGTTAGAAGAGGTAACTGATGGTAGAGTTGATGGCAATTTCCTTTTAGAATTTACTGTAATGGGCGAATTACTTCCATTTTTATCCGGTAATTTCTTCTTTTTTCTTTTATTAACTCTGTGCTTCTTTGTTTTTCGTTTACGCTTCCTCTTCTTTTCTTCCGACACATCATCCAATCCTTCCAAATTAGGGAATGTACTAAATTCATCTTCTTTCTCCCTTTCATCATCTGCATGATTATCTTCTCCTCCCACTTTTTCGCTTACTTTCTCCAATGAAGTTTTCACAGAGTTCTCCTCTTGCACTTCACTGTTCAGTTCCTGGCCTCCTGGTGACTTTTGCTTAATCTTGCTCGGTGGGCCTCGAGACCTCAAACTATAACAATGTTCACCAGAAGAATTTCTTGATTTTTGGCTATCTGGTGAAGATGATGGGGAAGATGATGCTGATGAACAACTTTTCCTTGGTGTACTGATGAACTCCTCTTTTACTGTTGTGCCAGTGGTTTGAATAAAACTTGATTCTTGGCAAGTTTCAGTTAATATTGGCTCTTGATGAATTACTGAGGTCTTTGTTTGACAAGATTCTTGGTATATTTCAGTTGATTTAGAATCATGGCTTGTTTCCTGCAACTCATATTTCTGGCACACTTCAGTTGGTTTTAATTCTTGAATTGCTTCAGATGACACTGGCTCCTGAGATGCTTCAGGTGAACCATGGTCCTGGGCATATTCCAGTTCCTCCCCTCCTTTTTTTATCTCTCCACCATCCACTTGTCTAAAAGTAATTTGTGCTCCTAAAGATTCATTTTCTTCAACCTGAGGCTTATCTACAGACAAGTCTTCACTATCTCCCTGAGAAGATTCATTGTTTAGTTTATTAATATGCTGTTCAGAGGAATCAACAACTGCTTCTCCATCATCTGTACACATTTTGTGTCTTCTTCTAGATATTCTCTCCTCCTCTTCTTCATCATGATCAACTGGCACTTCACTTTCAATGTCACCTTCAGCTGAACTAGACAACGAGTTGCTTCTATTTCTACTTGCTGCTTCCCTCGCATCTTTTTTATAAAACGCATTAGCCTCAGAGCTTTCAACTGGAACCTCCAATGATTTTGCATCATTGTCTGTTTCTGAATCTGTATTGGAAATGGACTGTTGCAATTTGTGAATGTTACTTGCAATCTGTTGATAAAACTCTTCATTAGGATTAATGGGGCCAAGATAGGTAATCTGAAATGTTTCTTTAGATTTCAAGCTTCTGCCTGGAGAATGGCAAGTAGATGTACATCTTTGTCTTCTAACAGTTTGAGATTCATTGCTAGAGTCATTTGAAGATGTATGAGAGAAGCTGAAGGAGCGTACTCTTGGACCCTTTTCCTGTGAAGAAGAAACAACCGAGGCATTTTCTGTTGTAGACTGAACACAAACATCTTCTTTAGATAATCCATAACGCAGTGAAATATTTTCGATGTTGTATGTGGTGGTTGAGTTACTAGTATCCATGTGATCACCACCATCTGAGCTAGAGTCTTGACGACAAGTACGTGGTGTTCTTAAATCACTGCAAGCTCCTCGTAATGAAGGTTCTCCTCTGGGTACTACCGCTCCTGTTATCCCACCACCAGCACCACCTTGCCGTACAAGTTGCTGCAGTTTACCGATACGCAGGTGCTGAAGTCGTCCCAATTCCTCAGTCATTCGTTTTTTTTCTCGCATGAGTTCGTGTATTTCTTGATCAATGCTCTCTAAATGTCGGACAAACTCTGTCTCTTGCTCACTAAAAACCATCATTTGCTGCAATGCAATTCCTGCATCCTGACTGAATTCAAAATCACTTAAAGAATTTGAAATTGAAGTCAGCTGACTCAGATGATTTCTAGGTCGGCCAGTACGATGCCACCACCAACCTTTGCCTCTGCTTTTTCCACGTTGTTGCTGTTGCTCCCATGCTCCACCTAAATCATCTGTGCTCGTACTCTGATCCACTCTAATTGTAACTAATGGTGTTACACTTCTTGCTAAACTTAAGTTAGGAATATACTGTCTTTTATTGTTATTGTTACTACTATTATTATTATACCCTTGGTCATTTGCTGGAATAATCTGTTCCTTCTCAGTCTGCACACCAACAGTGACTCTTGCTTCAGTTGTCACATTATTAACACAACGAGGTGAAGCTGGTGGTGCAAAGTGGCCAGGAAGACTCTGGTGTGGGGTCCTGGCCAGTGAGGCACAAGGGGACGGTGGTTCCATTTTGTACAAATGCGGTGTTGGTCTTCTTTCTGTAGGCTGTGGAGTAGTTCCATTACGACGTGAAGGGGGACGCATTTCTGCACTATGAGTACTGCTTCGCTCACATTCATTCCGCATACAGCAGCACATAAACTGCACAGGTGTATGGCGCTCTATTTTAATACGTGGACTGAACTGTGGGGGTGGAGGTGGTGGTGGACGAGGAGGATCTGGGAAATCATTGTCTGGGGAAAATATGAGTGGTCTTGGATGAGGAGGTGGGTGCAGGCCTTGGGTTGGAGGAGGAAGTGGAAGTGTATCAGGAGGAGCAGGATTCTTTGGACGCTCTTCTGAGGATGGCCGTTTTACATGTTCATACTTCAGATATGAATCTGTTGACAAATAAATCAATGTAATAATGCAATTAGCTTAAAAATTGTTACCTCAAATTCTTTAAGTTATGCTAAAAGAATCATTCAGCATTTTACAAATCATTTGCAAATCTTTTAATATCCCTAATAATGAATTAAGAAATGCTATAAATATTAACATTAGAAATCATAGTTAAAAATCTCATCTTTAAGGGAAATACACAGTACAGCCTCTCTTCAATTAGCGATATACTCGTTTACCGACGACTCGGACTTGCGATGGGCTCTCTGACCCGTATGCATACCTAAATAATGCATATTAGAGCTGATTTCCTCTATTCTGTTTATTATAATATACAGTACACTACTGTATAAACATTTCAAAATATACAGCAGGGTCCTGCTTTACGGCGTTTCACCATACGGTGTTCTGCTAATACGGCGATTTCAAATTATGACTAAAACTTGCTATAGGGTTAGCAGGCTTTCTAATATGGCGGGCGTCATCCAGTTTGTTTACATTCTCCGTGACACATCTCTCTATTATGTCTGGAAACTTTCCAAAATTTCAAGTGTTTTAAAGTTATTGCACATTTTATATGTACTCTGATAATTATGCTTAGGCATACCTGTACCTAAATATACTTACACACTGAGCTGGCATGCAGGTACACATTAAAATCACTAACAGTCTCTCTACTCTTGACACCATATTAAAGTAAATACTTTATCTCTTGGGCACATTATACGTTGTATATTACAATGATATAGACATTTCCATTAATCCATCTATATTTTTTTCAAAATTATATGTTACGTAGCATGTTCACATGCTACGTAACATATAAACATAACAAATACATCCCACAGCAGAATAAATTAACATAAATATGAGATGTGGTAGCCAGGCGACTTGTAGTCCAACATCAGAGAAAATGTATACACTATAATATTACTGGGTAACTAGAAAATTATTCCTTTCGTATGTAAGTAAGTTCATTCAGGTATACACAAATACAGCCACATAGATTATCATACTTAGCAGCATGTGTGTAGAGAACCTAGGAAAACCCAAAAAAGTCAAAGTGACTAATTTGCATATGCCTTCACTTAGAGTATCATTTGTTCTAAAAATGGTGTTCAATGAGAATGGGAGTATTTTTCTTTTATTTATTCTACTGTATCAACGTGGAGACAACTTGTACACAATGTAAAGTGTTTGTATGGAAATAAGTCATTTTGTCTGACTTCTTTTTGGGTTATGGCAGGTTCTCTACACATATGCTGCTATGTATGATAATCAATGTAACTGTATTTGTGTATACCTGAATAAACTTACTTACATAATTATGGTATAATACAAAAAGTGTATAAACAAAGACCAGATGCGTTCGCCTGGTTTGTTTACATTACGTGTGGGTGGGGTGGGCTGACCTGGCTGCCTATCATACCTCCCAAACCTGACTTCCTACAAATAAAACTCATTTCTCACCCTACATTAAGACTACAAATATTTTAAGGAAAGCAATGAGTGTACTATATGTGTATTTTACTTTTTATTGTTTTTTAATGCCTAGTTCTATTGCTAACTTAATGTATGTTAGTGTAAACTTGTTATCTGGCATTTATATGCATTTATAAGTGGAAAAAATGGAGTTCTGCTTTCCGGCGATGTCTACTTTGCGACAGTAGCCTGGAACCTAACCTGCCGTAAAAGTGGGGCCCTACTGTACTAAAAATGTTGTAAATGGTGCAAAGATAACATTAAAACATTATAAAAAATGGTTGACACACACCCACTACCATTACAGTATGCTCCTTGTTTAGCAGCGAATTCATTTACCAACGTGGTCTTAGGAGTGGAATTCTGTCAATAAGTGAGGAGAGGCTGTACGTATATATGGTAGTCAACTCGGTGAATGGACAGGATTCAACCCACGACAAATTAATTCTAGTCCTAAAACTAGCAGGTCAGCACTCTAACCATTAGACAAAGCAGACGTAATAAAAATCGTCAACTAACAGATCTTGAGATATCAGAGTTGGAAATTATAGAGAAATCATTTAATAATCATTTTTTTTTTTAACAAGTTGGCCATCTCCCACCGAAGCAGGGTGACCCAAAAAGAAAATATTTTCATCATTCAACACTTTCACCTCACTCATACATAATCACTGTTTTTGCAGAGGAGCTCAGAATACAACAGTTCAGAAGTTTTTTTCTTTTTTTTTTTCAACAAGTCGGCCGTCTCCCACCGAGGCAGGGTGACCCAAAAAAGAAAGAAAATCCCCAAAAAGAAAATACTTTCATCACATTCAACACTTTCACCACACTCAACATTTCTACACTGTTTTTGCAGAGTGCTCAGAAATAAACGTTTGAAGCATATACTAATCAAACACCCACCATATCCCTCCAAACTGCAAAATCCCAAACCCCTCCTTTAAAGTGCCAGGCATTGTACTTCCATTTCAGGACTCAATTCCGAACTAATGAAACATACCGTTTCCCTGAATCCCTTCACTAAATATTACCCTGCTCACTCCGACAGATCGTCAGGTCCCAAGTATCATTCGTCTCATCATCCTATCTAAATGCCTTCATTAGACTTTTTCCAAGCCCCGTCGCCCACAATACCTCCTTAACCCCCTCTTTCAACCTTTCGAGGACGACCCCTACCCCTCCTTCCATTCCCCTTTTCCAACCTTATGTAGGCGACCCCATACCCCTCCTTCCTTTCCATAGATTCATATTGATGCATCCATGTCATTCTACTTTGATCCATTTCTCGTAAAGACCAAACACCTCAACACCCCTTCTAGCCCTGACTATGTTTTATTAACTCCACACCTTCTCTATTTCTCACTCTGAATTTTCTGCATAACATCATTTATCAATCACATCATTAGCCCTTAGTACAGGCATTGACACTCCCCACCGTCTCCTCGCTGCTGCATTTACCACCAAACTTCACATCCATAAAGAGTGTTGGTACTACTATACTTTCATACATTCCCTTCTTTGCCTACATAGATAACGTTTTTTGACTCCACATATACCTCAATGCACCACTCACCTTTTTTCCCTCATCAATTCTATGATTAACCTCATCCTTCATAAATCCATCCGCCGACACGTCAACTCCCAAGTATCTGAAAACATTCACTTCTTCCATACTCCTCCTCCCCAATTTGATATCCAATTTTTCTTTATCTAAATCATTTGATACCCTCATCACCTTACTCTTTTCTATGTTCACTTTCAACTTTCTACCTTTACACACATTCTCAAACTCATCCACTAACCTTTGCAATTTTTCTTTAGAATCTCCCATAAGCACAGTATCATCAGCAAAAAGTAACTGTGTTAATTCCCATTTTGAATTCGATTCCCCATAATTTAACCCCATCCCTCTCCCGAACACCCTAGCATTTACTTCTTTTACAACCCCTTCTATAAATATATTAAACAACCATGGTGACATTACACATCCCTGTCTAAGACCTACTTTTACCGGGAAGTATTCTCCCTCTCTTCTACACACCCTAACCTGAGCCTCACTATCCTTATAAAAGCTCTTTACAGCATTTAGTAACTTACCACCTATTCCATATACTTGCAACATCTGCCACATTGCTCCTCTATCCACTCTATCATATGCCTTTTCTAAATCCATAAATGCAATAAAAACTTCCCTACCTTTATCTAAATACTGTTCACATATATGCTTCAATGTAAACACTTGATCTACACATCCCCTACCCACTCTGAAGCCTCCCTGCTCATCCGCAATCCTATATTCTGTCTTACCTCTAATTCTTTCAATTATAACCCTACCGTATACTTTTCCTGGATTACTCAGTAAACTTATTCCTCTATAATTTTTACAATCTCTTTTGTCCCCTTTCCCTTTATATAAAGGGACTATACATGCTCTCTGCCAATCCCTAGGTACCTTCCCCTCTTTCATACATTTATTAAACAAAAGTACCAACCACTCCAACACTATATCCCCCCCCTGCTTTTAACATTTCTGTCATGATCCCATCAGTTCCAGCTGCTTTACCCCCTTTCATTTAAAAGTTCCTCAAAATATTCTCGCCATCTACCTAATACCTCCCTTTCCCCATCTACTAATTCCCCTACTCTGTTTTTAACTGACAAATCCATACTTTCCCTAGGCTTTCTTAACTTGTTTAACTCACTCCAAAATTTTTTCTTATTTTCATTAAAATTTCTTGACAGTGCCTCTCCCACTCTATCATCTGCTCTCCTTTTGCACTCTCTCACCACTCTCTTCACCTTTCTTTTACTCTCCATATACTCTGCTCTTTTTATAACACTTCTGCTTTGTAAAAAACCTCTCATAAGCTACCTTTTTCTCTTTTATCACACCCTTTACTTCATCATTCCACCAATCACTCCTCTTTCCTCCTGCCCCCACCCTCCTATAACCACAAACTTCTGCCCCACATTCTAATACTGCATGTTTAAAACTATTCCAACCCTCTTCAACCCCCCCACTACTCATCTTTGCACTAGCCCACCTTTCTGCCAATAGTCGCTTATATCTCACCCGAACTTCCTCCTCCCTTAGTTTATACACTTTCACCTCCCTCTTACTTGTTATTGCCACCTTCCTCTTTTCCCATCTACCTCTTACTCTAACTGTAGCTACAACTAAATAATGATCCGATATATCAGTTGCCCCTCTATAAACATGTACATCCTGGAGCCTACCCATCAACCTTTTATCCACCAATACATAATCTAACAAACTACTTTCATTACGTGCTACATCAAACCTTGTATATTTATTTATCCTCTTTTTCATAAAATATGTATTACTTATTACCAAATTTCTTTCTACACATAGCTCAATTAAAGGCTCCCCATTTACATTTACCCCTGGCACCCCAAATTTACCTACTACTCCCTCCATAACATTTTTACCCACTTTAGCATTGAAATCCCCAACCACCATTACTCTCACACTTGATTCAAAACTCCCCACGCATTCACTCAACATTTCCCAGAATCTCTCTCTCTCCTCTACACTTCTCTCTTCTCCAGGTGCATACACACTTACTATAACCCACTTTTCACATCCAATCTTTATTTTATGCCACATAATCCTTGAATTTATACATTTGTAGTCCCTCTTTTCCTGTATAAAGATACACAAGATATCCCTCCAAACTGCCAATATCCCAAACCCCTCCTTTAAAGTGCAGGCATTGTACTTCCCATTTCCAGTACTCAAGTCGGTTATGTAAAAATTACCAGTTTCCCTGAATCCCTTCACTAAATATTACCCTGCTCACACTCCAACAGCTCATCAGGTCCAAATACAATTCGTCTCCATTCACTCCTATCTAACATGCTCACGCACACTTGCTTTAAGTCCAAGCCCCTCGACCACAAAACCTCTTTTACCCCCCTCCTCCAACCTTTTCGAAGACGACCCCTACCCCGCCTTCCTTCCCCTACAGATTTTTATGCTCTACATGTCATTCTACTTTGATACATTCTCTCTAAATGACCAAACCACCTCAACAACCCCTCTTCTGCCCTCTAATACTTTTATTAACTCCACACCTTCTCCTAATTTCCACACTCCGAATTTTCTGCATAATATTTGCACTACACATTGCCCTTAGACAGGACATCTCCACTGCCTCCAACTGTCTCCTCGCTGCAGCATTTACAACTCAAGCTTCACACCCATATAAGAGTGTTGGTACCACTATACTTTTATACATTTCTTTCTTTGCTTCCATAGATAACGTTTTTTTCTCCACATATACCTCAACGCACAACTCACCTTTTTTCCTTCATCAATTTTATAGTTAACCTTATCCTTCATAAATCCATCCTCTGACAATTGAAAATTGAGCTCAAAGTAGTGGAAAAGTTTGATTTTTGCCAATATTCAAAAGTAAACAAATCACGTCGCACGTCCAATACACATCAACTGGTGAGTCTAACATGCGTTCACAAATTCGCTGATATTATTTATGCAATTATGACAATGTTGCATAAGAATAAATCTTCTATTTTTTGTGCAAATAAAAATTCTTCATGTGAATAAGAAATCATAATGGAATTCATGTGTAAAGCCTGGAACTGTTAAGTAACAAACAGGAAATGTTATTTTATGCCAGAAATGCATGTGTTGTTTATTCTGGACCCTATTTTGAAAATTGGAATATTTTGAAGTTTGTATGAAATTAGCCAAATTACCAATTTCTAATTACTAGGTAGTTTAAATACTCGAGTGGATGGTTTCTTGTGCTCAATAGATAAAATGGAAGACACACTAGCAAAATAGCTAAGAATTTGGTCAACTGGAATGGTGTAATTGGCCTAAGATAGAACTCAAAGTCAGCAAAATCGCCGATGTATAAATATCGCTGACACAGCAAAATTCGCAAGTTCCATTTTGTAAATTTTTGACCAAATTTCGTACTTTTTGTTTTATTACTTTCAGAAAAAGATTCACTACTATTTCACGTGAAAAAAAAAAAAAAATCTGAAAATTCTTGGACACTGTGGACAAGTTTCAGACTAGGGGTCTGGACATTGAAAGGGTTAACTACAGGTACTCCTCACTTAACGACCTACCTGTTTAATGACTGCTAAGAGATATGAATAGCTCTCCAACCAGTATACAAACCTTAGTAATGAATATTAGAGCTAATTTCCTCTATTCTGTTTATTACAATATACGGTACACCTCTGTATAAACATTTAAAAAATATACTAAAAGTGTTATAAATGGTGCAAAGGTGACATTAAAACAATATGTAAAGATGGTTGACACAAACCCACTACCAGTACAATATGACCTCACTTAACAATCAATTCGTTTACTAACCTACTCTTAGGAACAGAACTCGGTAAAGTGAGGAGTACCTGTAGTTACAAAGTTTGTCTCCTATGTGCAGGTTATTTGCATACTGGATTGGTAGAAAAGCCTTCAAACTTGGTTATAAGTTTCTTAAAGGCAGAGAGGTTAGCACAGGCACCACTAAGAATATACAGTAAATGCAAATTGTTATGGACAAACCCTCGTATCCACACTGCAACAATGAGAGATTTGCCCATAAAAACCTGCAATTAGGCTGACAGTGAGACCTATCCTAAGTTCTCTTGTGTACATAAATATACCTAGCCGGATGACTTTTCAGCCTGCACAGTTTAGCGACCTGCTAGTTTTAGAACTTAACTGCCATGGATTCGAATCTTGTCTGTTCTCGAGTTGCTCACAATCATTTTATTTATGATTTTTTGTGCATATATAATGTTAAATCATATATAATTACATTTATAGTAGAAAGGATATTTAGATTCCAAAATATTCAAAAGAAAAAAGAATCTCATTAAAAAATATATATAATTTTAAAACCTATCAAGAACTAACCATCAAGCTTCTCCTGTTTGATAGATCTCTGGTAATGAGTCGATGAGAGTGGGACGGCAGGAGGCTGCTGAGTAGCAGGCATGTGAGGGACTGGCCTCTGAGGAGGTGTAGTGCCCAGGGGTCGCGGTGGACCAGGCATCAGTGCCACAGGAGATGGAGGAGCCAAACCATAGGGGTATACACATTCTGAGGTGTGGGGTGTTCGTGGATTGTGCATGCAGAGGCCACATTCACTGATGGGTGATGGACGCTCTTCCTTCACCTGAAAATAATGCAGTACACATTTTCTTCCTTTTTTCAACAAACTGGCCGTATCCCACCGAGATGGGGTGGCTCAAAAGGAAAAACGAAAATTTCTTCCACATTTTGTGTCGCATTATAAATGAGAAGAGTACATTCCTGACCCTGGAGTCTCTCTGTATTCTGAATTTTGTATATAAAAAAAAAAATCTGTATCTGGTACTATTGCCTAATGCCTATACATAAGGAGAGAGAAGCATGGCAGGAAAACACTGTTTGAAGCGTTTTGACAACTCAGTAATTATTTGTTGTTTCAGAACTGTTTATCTATGTGTGAAGAGTTTACATTCCTTTTTGGTAAAAAGGTAAACCAACATAGAAATGCCTTATATATAAACATAAGTACAGTGGTCATGATTACCTTCAATCTAGGTGAAGCTAGCAAGAGTGTACTAGGTCCAGGCACAGAGATGTTTTCACCAGCTGACCTTTGGTTGCTTATAGGTGGCTGACTTGAGGCTATGAGGTTTAGTGTTGAGTCAGACACCTGATTTGAGAGATCTCGAGTATTACTTGGGCCACTGCCTAAGGACTCCATGACACAAAGTGGCACCTCAACAGGAATAGTAGGTAACATTTGTAAGGGACCACCTGTGGATTTGTTTCCACTATGTGGTGTGGCAGCTTCTCTTTTACTGATTGAATTTCTTGTTTCATTTGTTTCTGCACTGACTTGTGTGACTGGAACTTGATGCTGCACCTCTTCTTCATCTTCCTCATCTTCATGTTCTTCTTCTTCCTCTTGATCTTCATCTTCATGATCACTCTCTCTGTCTTCATGGTCATCCTCCTCATGCTCTCTTCCTTCTGGTTCATGGTCATCCTCTTCATGTCCACTCTCACCTTCAATGAGATCTTCCATTTCTGAGTCTGAATCATGTATAGTAATGGTAGAGGCAGGATCACGAGGAGGGGGTGAAATTATTTGGCAGTCTAAGTCTGGGTCAGAGTCAGCATTAAGAAGGTCATTAAGAGAGAAGGTAACCTCCTCCCATGCTCTGTTGTTGCCATTCTGCTCCAAAGCAAGAATTTCACGAACCTGTAAAAACAACACTTAATGACATGTCATATTGAATTACAGATAATTTAGCAATACTATGTCATACTGCTTTATTGCTGGAGGTACTATACAGTAAAAAAAATGCATTACAACAATGCACAATTTTTTTAACACACTGGACATCTGCCACAGTGGTAGGGTAACTAAAAAAGAAACACTTTCACCATCATTCATTCCATCACTGTTTTGTCTAAGGGATGCCAATACTACAGTTCAGATGGCCATTCAAACTGTAAATATCCCTACCCCTCCTGAGTGCAGGCACTGTATTTCTCACCTTCATGACCTGAGTCCAACTAGCTTGTTTCTCTGAATCCCTTCAAAAACTGTTACCTTGCTCATGCTTCAACGGCATATCAAGTCCCAAAAGTCATTTCCTTCACTCGCTCCTATCTAATATGCTTACACACTCCTGCTGGATGTCCAAGCCCCTCACACACACAAAACCTCCTTTACCCCCCCTCCCTGTAACTTTTCCTAGCGTAACTTCTACCCCACCTTCCCTCCACTGCAAATTTATACACCCTCCAAGTCATCCTATTTTACTCCATCCTCTTTGAACATCCAAACCACTTCTACAACCCCTCTTCAGCCCTCTGGATAATACTTTCAGTAATTCCACACCTCCTAATCTCCAAGCTACGAATTCTCTGCATAACATCTACGCCACACACTGTCCTTGGACACAACATCTCCACCTCCAACCTCCTCCTCACTGCAACATTCACAACCTATGCTTCACATCCATACAAGGGCTGGTACCACTACACTCTCATACATTTCCCTCTCTGCCTCCATGTATAATGTTCTTTATCTCCACAGATACCTCAATGCACCACCCACCTTTTTACCTTCAACAATTCTGTGGTTCACCTCATCTTTCATATATACCCATCCACTGACACATCCACTCCCAAATACCTGAACACATTCATTTCCTCCACACTCGCTCCTTCCAATTTGATATCCAATCTTTCATTTCCTAACTAGTTTATTACCCCCATCACCTTGCTCTTTCCTATGTTCACTTTTAATTTCCTTATTTTGCATACCCTCCCAAATTCATCCACCAATTTTAGCAATTTCTTTCCAGAATCTCCCAGAAGCAACTGTGACGACTCCCCCTTTGTATTAAATTCCATACATTTTAATTGCACGCTTCTCCACAACACACTAAAATTAACTTCTTTTACAACACCATTTATAAATATGTTAAACAACCAACCAAGGTGACATCATACATCCTTGGAAAATAATCTCCCTTCCTCACACCCATCCTAACCTGAGACTCACTGTCCACATAAAAGCTCTTAACTGCTTTGAGTAACCTGCGACATACTTCATACACTTGCAACATTGCTCCACTATCCACCTAATCGTATGTCTTTTCTAAATCCATGAATACAACAAAACTTAATTACCTTTTTCCTAAATATTGTTCACTTATATGCTTCAATGTTAAACACTTGGTCTACACATCCCCTACCCTTCGTAATCTCCTTGCTAATTTGCAATCTTGTTCTCTGTCTTACCCTTAATTCTTTCAATAACTCGACCATACACTTTACCTGGAATACTCAACAGGCTCATTTCCCTATGTATTTTGCACTCTGTTTTGTCTCCCTTTTCCTTATACAAAGAACTATGCATGCTCTCTGCCAATCACTAGGTACTTTTCCCTCCTTCATTCATTTAACAAAAGTACCAACCACTCCAAAACTATAACCCCACCTGTTTTTAACATTTCTGTCATGATCCCATCAATTCCAACTGCTTTACGACCTTTCATTCTACCCACTGCCTCACACACCTCCCCCATGTTCAAATCTGGCACTCCCTCACTCCTACAGGATGTTATACCTCCCTGGCCAATGCATGAAATCACTGCCTCCCTTTCTTCATCAACATTTAACAGGTAATATAAAAAAAAATACAAAGAGCATATTTTTCAAAAATGGTTACCTCACAAGGAGTTCCATAAGTACATACTGCACTATGCATGTGAAAATAGATGAATGTGAGGGTACAGCAATTTGAGTAAAAAGTACCTGTTGTAGAACTTCTGGTGGAAGAGAATTTAGCTGAGAGTTCTCCAGACTATTCAACAGCTGCAGTTCATCATCATGCAAAGAATCTGAAGTCCTGAAGCGTTGCTGAGTGAGACGCTGAGACAAAGCTGCACGATGCTCAGACATGAGGTGTGTCATCATAAACTGTGCTTTGCGGGATCTTGGGTCATCAACCAACTCCTGTTATGTACGACATTTTAACACATTGTACTAAAGCATGGAAACTTGGAAATTAAATCTGTATGCAGTATAATTTAAATGGAGTTTTGATCTAATATGCAATATAGTACAGTGGACCCCCGGTATTCGATATTAATCCGTTCCTGAGAGCTCATCGAATACCGAAAATATCGAAAACCGAATCAATTTTCCTCATAAGAAATAATGGAAATCAAATTAATCCGTGCAAGACACCCAAAAGTATGAAAAAAAATTTACTACATGAAATATTAAGTTTAATGCAAAAGAATAATTACAATAACAATAAAATAATTGACACTTACCTTTAATGAAGATCTGGTGATGATTGATGAGATGGGAGGAGGGGAGAGGTGTTAGTGTTTAGAAGGGGAATCCCCTTCCATTAGGACTTGAGGTAGCAAGTCCTTTTCTGGGGTTACTTCCCTTCTTCTTTTAATGCCACTAGGACCAGCTTGAGTCACTGGACTTCTGTCGCACAACGTAACTGGCAGCCTCACCATACCTAATCACACTATGTATGCCACTACGATTCTTAAATCTTTCAAACCAACCTTTACTGGCCTTAAATTCACTCACATCACCACTAGTTGCAGGCAATTTCTTTACCAAATCGTCATGCAACTGCCTAGCCTTTTCACAAATGATCGCTTGAGAGATGCTATCTCCTGCTATCTGTTTTTCATTTATCCACACCAATAACAATCTCTCAACATTTTCTAACACTTGCGGTCGCTGTTTCGTAATTACAGTTGCACCTTTTGCAAGAACAGCTTCCTTGATTGCCGTTTTCCTGGTCACTATAGTAGAGATGGTTGATTGGGGTTTATTATACAGCCTAACCAGCTCCGACACACGCACTCCACTTTTGAACTTTGCAATTATCTCTTTCTTCATTTCGTAAGTCATTAGCGACTTTTTTCTCGAAGGATTGGCACTAGAAGCTTTCTTGGGGCCCATGGTGATTTATTTTGCAGAAACAAGCACCAAACACAGTGATAATATGGAATGTACCGAATGTATCCTTAGATGCGCGCACACTGGCTGGCTTGTAAACACTGGCACATATGGGGCAGTTCAGGCCACACGTGGACAGGTCTCGTACGACTTGTATCGAATACCGGGTTTTCAATCGAATACCGAGGAAATTTTTTTGAGATATAATGCATCGAATACCGGATTTATCGAATACCGATGCCATCGAATACCGGGGGTCCACTGTACAGTGGTCCCTCGATAATAGTCGGGCTCGATAGTCGTCCTTTTCGGAAATCGTCGTGTTATTCTAGTCCAAACATGGGCTCGCAAATGGTCGGTTGACTCGCTAATCATCGTTCGTCCTGGACACGTACTCACGGCTCTGAGCCGCCTCAGCCTCCCTTCCCAGCCAGTGTGCCATTGTTTACCAGTGAGCAACGGTCCCCTCATGTGTTCATACAAAATATTTCATAATATTCCATTCATTTTAGTGCTTGCAAGTGCTAAATAAGCTACCATGGCTCCAAAGAAAGCTCCTAGTGCCAAGCCTGTGGTAAAGAAGGTGAGAAATATGATTGAATTTAAGAAAAACATCATTGAACAATATGAAAGTGGCATACGTGTGGCCGAACTGGCGAGGATGTATAACGAATCCTGTACAACCATATCTTCCATCATGGCCAAGAAAAAGGAAACCAAGGAAGCTGTTGTTGCAAAGGAGGTAAATATGCTGACAAAAATGAGATCACCCAGTACTCGAAGAGGTTGAGAAGTTATTATTGGTGTGGATAAATGAGAAACAATTAGCAGGAGATAGTCTTATGACGTCGATTATTTGTGAAAAGGCTAGGCAGTCGCATGACGATCTGGTAAAGAAATTTCCTGCAACGAGTACTGATATTTTTTAATTTAAGGCCAGCAAAGGATGGTTTGAGAGATTTAACAACTGTAGTGGCATACACAGTGTGATAAGGCATGGTGAGGCTGCCAGTTCAGACAAAATTGCAGCTACAAAATTCGTAAGTGAATTCAAGGAGTACATAGAGGCTGAAGGACTGAAACCTGAACAAGTGTTCAATTGTGATTAAACAGGCCTCTTTTGGAAGAAAATGCCAAAGAGGACCTAAATTACTCAGGAGGAAAAGGGACTGCCAGGACACAAGCCTATGAAAGACAGGCTGACACTCATGTTCTGTGCTAATGCTAGTGGGGATTTCAAAGTGAAGCCGTTACTAGTGTACCATTCTGAAAATCCCAGTGTGTTCAACCAAAACAATGTTATGAAGAGTAAATTGTGTGTGTTTTGGAGATCTAATAATAAGGCATGGGTCATGAGGGAAATTTTCATCAAGTGGTTCAATGAAGTGTTTGGTTCTAGTGTGAAGAATTACCTCCTGGAAAAGAAATTGGATCTCAAGTGCCTCCTAGTAATGGACAATGCACCTGCTCATCCTCCAAACTTGGATGACCTAATTCTGCAGGAGTTTGGATTCATCACAGTAAAGTTCTTTCCCCCGAATACCACTCCTCTCCTCCAGCCCATGCACCAGCAGGTCATTTCAAACTTTAAAAAACTCCACACGAAAGCAATGTTTCAAAGGTGCTTTAATGTGACCTCAGACACTCACTTGACCCTAAGAGAGTTTTGGAAGGAACACTTCAGTATCCTCCATTGCATAAGCCTTATAGGTAAGGCTTGGGAGGGAGTGACTACCAGGACTTTGAACTCTGCTTGGAGAAAATTGTGGCCAGATTGTGTCCACAAGAGGGATTTTGAAGGGCCTGTGGCTGACCCTGATGAGCCTATGTCAGTTGTGAACTCTATTGTGGCATTGGGGAGTTCCATGGGGTTGGATGTGAGTTTGGAGGATGTGGAAGAGTTGGTGGAGGACCACAACGAAGAGCTAACCACTGAGGAGCTGCAAGAGCTTCAGCAGGAAGAGCAACAGATCGCAGCTCAGAATCTTGCTGCAGAGGAGGAGGAAGAGAGATGGAAGTAGGTGCCTTCTTCAGAAATTAAGGGGATTTTTGAAATGTGGGGTAGGATGGAAAGATTTATGGAGAAACATCACCCTGAGAAGGATGTTGCAAGCAATATCGGCAACTTGTACAGTGACAGAGTCTTTGCCCATTTTAGGGAAGTTTTAAAGAGATGCCAGAAACAGAGCTCTCTGAACATTTTCTTGTGAGACAGGACTCCAGTGACTCTCAAGCTGGTCCTAGTGGCATTAAGAAACAGAGAAGAGAAGTAACCCCAGAAAAGACTTGGTACCTGAGGTGTTGATGGAAGGGGATTCCCCTTCCTAACAGTAACTAATCCAATCTCTCTCCTCCTCCAGTCTTCCATACACTAAGAAGAATTGCCAATAAAGGTAAGTGTTATGCTGTTAATGTTTCATTCATCATGTCCCATTGTATTGTTTATGTACTACATCTATATTTCATGTAAAAAAATTTTTTGTTTTAATACTTCTGGGTGTCAGGAATGGATTAACTGCATTTACATCGTTTCTCATGGGGAAAATTGATTCGAAAATCGTCTATTTTGATAATCGTCACACTTCCAGGAACGGATTAACGACGATAAACGATGCACCACTGTACAGGTCTCCCTCAACATTCACATTTTCCACTTTCGTGGGCTTCGAACATTCGCGAATTCCCAGCCATCCAATCATATTTAAAATATGTCATTAAGCATATTAGGAATTGTGGCGGTGGCAGAGTTTGTTTGGAGATAGAACAAGATAGTCCTTCCATACGACACTAATATCAACTCTACGGCTTATTCATCTATCACAATTCAGTGATAGATAGGGAGAGAGTATGGAGGTGGTGAATGTATTCAGATATTTGGGAGTGGACGTGTCAGCGGATGGGTCTGTGAAAGATGAGGTTAATCATAGAATTGATGAGGGGAAAAGGGTAAGTGGTGCACTTAGGAGTCTTTGGAGACAAAGAACTTTGTCATTGGAGGCAAAGAGGGGAATGTATGAGAGTATAGTTTTACCAACGCTCTTATATGGGTGTGAAGCATGGGTGATGAATGTTGCAGCGAGGAGAAGGCTGGAGGCAGTGGAGATGGCATGTCTGAGGGCAATGTGTGGTGTGAATATAATGCAGAGAATTCGTAGTTTGGAAGTTAGGAGGAGGTGCGGGATTACCAAAACTGTTGTCCAGAGGGGTGAGGAAGGGTTGTTGAGGTGGTTCGGGCATGTAGACAGAATGGAGCGAAACAGAGTGACTTCAAGAGTGTATCAGTCTGTAGTGGAAGGAAGGCGGGGTAGGGGTCGGCCTAGGAAAGGTTGGAGGGAGGGGGTAAAGGAGGTTTTGTGTGCGAGGGGCTTGGACTTCCAGCAGGCATGCGTGAGCGTGTTTGATAGGAGTGAATGGAGACAAATGGTTTTTAATACTTGACGTGCTGTTGGAGTGTGAGCAAAGTAACACTTATGAAGGGGTTCAGGGAAACCAGCAGGCTGGACTTGAGTCCTGGATATGGGAAGTACAGTACCTGCACTCTGAAGGAGGGGTGTTAATGTTGCAGTTTAAAAACTGTAGTGTAAAGCACCCTTCTGGCAAGACAGTGATGGAGTGAATGATGGTGAAAGTTTTTCTTTTTTGGGCCACCCTGCCTTGGTGGGAATCGGCCAGTGTGATAATAATAATAAAAAAAAAATTCATCTAATCAGCAACTGCCCAAGGAGGTACTACTGTCCTGCCAAGTGAGTGTAAAATGAAAGCCTGCAATTGTTTTACATGATGGTAGGATTGCTGGTGTCCTTTTTTCCGTCTCATAAACATGCAAGATTTCAGATATGTCTTGCTACTTCTACTTACACTTAGGTCACACTATGCATACATATACAAGCATATATATATACACACCCCTCTGGGTTTTCTGCTATTTTCTTTCTAGTTCTTGTTCTTGTTTATTTCCTCTTATCTCCATGGGGTAGTGGAACAGAATTCTTCCTCCGTAAGCCATGCGTGTTGTAAAAGGCGACTAAAATGCCCGGGGCAAGGAGCTAGTAACCTCTTTTCTTGTATAAATTACTAAATTTAAAAAGAGAAACTTTCGTTTTTCTTTTTGGGCCACCCTGCCTTGGTGGGATACGGCCGGTTTGCTGAAAAAAAAAAATCTAATATGACATGATGAACAACATTAATAACGGAAACATGACATACGTATACTCTAGAATAAAATACGTCATTAAGTGTGTTACAAGTGTTGCCGTGTTGTTGTTATGTGTATAAGCCTTACATAGTGGTGGTGAAGGCAGCAGCTGAGATGTAAGAGATGGTTGTGTTGTCAGTAGCCCTATATAACTCCAACAACATTGGGGGAGTTAGGTTCATGCTGTCCTTTTTCTATCGATTAATCGCTTAACTTACTTGCCACACTGTTAATGCTACACTTTATTGCTGGCTGGTGCTATAGCCTTTATCAACTTGTGCTGCTTTAGTATCATACAAATCGTAGAATCACTGAATCACTGAAGATGGCACATTCTCCCCTCTCTTTTCCTCCTCCACTTTGGTACTCTGCTATGAGTTCTTTCTTGAATTCTATAGTCTTTCTCACCTTCTTTACCAAAGGGCTGGCAAGAGTACAATATTTTATGATGTTTTCATGTGTTTTATGATTGTTAATTTTTCAATAGGTTAAGGAAGCAGTATTGTTAGGCTAAGTAAATGTTATTATTGTATTTCTCTACAATATATTTGTGCACCAAACATTCACGAGGTTCTTGATCCCCAAACCCTCGCAAATGTGGAGGGAGACCTGTAATGCTAGTCAGAAAAGAAAGGCTAAACAAAATACAGAACAGGAACATTCCCTGTATTTCCTAGTTACAGGCTGACCTCCAGAACACCCTCCAGGTAGTCTATGGGTGGATGGTGGTTGGGGGGGGAAGTTATGTATGCGCATGTAGTGTGTGTATATATATTTTTTTAATCCCTTGAGGGTCAGTGCCTTTATTCTATGGTTTTGAACTCTGGGATCAGTGCCCGAGAACTACGCTATGAGGTCAGCTCACTCAGATAAGCTGTGAGGGGTAAATTTTGCCCTAGACATAAAACAATGCACCATATAAAAAAAAGTCTTGCTCCATGCAGTGCATGATGGGGAAAAAACTGTTACCAGGTTTTTGGTTTAAAATACAATGAATTTGCAGTGTATTTTTAGGTGGTTTGTATGGTTTTATTCTCAGTTTCTTGGTATCATTTGATAAAATGGAAGATATGTTACTGAAATAGAGATGATTTTGATTGGTTTCAGGAATGGAAGTAGCTAGAAACTGAGCTCAAAGTAGCGGAAATATTTGATTTTTGGCCGATATTCCAGAGCAAACAAATCACGTCACTTGTCTAATGCATGTCCAACTAGGTCTAACATGCCTTCACAAATGCAATGACATTATTTATACAATTATTACAATAATGCATAACAGTAAATCTTCTATTTTTTGTGAATAAAAATTCAAAATGGAAAACAAGTGCAATATAAGAGAGGTCTGGGAATGTAACTAATGAACAGAGGAAATGTTATTTTAGTGTCAGGAATGCCTGCTTTCTTTATTCTGGACCCTATTTTGAAATTATCATACTTTGAAATTTGTGTGAAATTGGCCAAATTACCAATTTCTGATCACTTTATTGGGTAATTGAAATAGTTGATTGGGCAATTTCTTGTGCTCATTCAATAAAAATGGAAGACTTACTAGCAAAATAGCTAAAAATTTGGTCTACTGGAACAATGCAATTGGTGTAAAATAGGACTCAAAGTGGGCCAAATCGCTGATGCGTAAATATCGCTGACACAGCAATATTTAACCCTTTCAGGGTCCGTCCCGTAGATCTACGGCTTTACGTTCAGGGCCCAAACCGTAGATCTACGTCATGAGCTCAGCTCACTCTGATAAACTGTGAGTGGTACATTTGGGCCTAGATAGGAGAGAATATCTATGTGGTATGTGTGCACCACATAAAACAGATCTGCAGCACACTGTGTATAATGAGAGAAAAAAACTGAAATCATGATTTTTCGATTAAAACAGCGAATTTGCATTGTTTTTTCCTATGTTTTTTATAGTTGTATTTGCGATTTCTTGGTCTCATTTGATAGAATGGAAGACATATTACAGAAAATGAGTGATTTTGATTGGTTTTAGCACTGGAAATGGCTTGAAACTGAGCTCAAAGTAGCAGAATGTAAAATTTTTGACGATATTCAAGAGTAAACAAACAACCTCACATGTCTAATACACGCCAGCTGGTGGGTCTAATATCATTCACAAATATGGTGATGATATTTATACATTATTACAGTATTGCATAACGGTAAATCTTCTATTTTTTGGTGTGAATAAAAATTCATTATGTGAATAAAAAATCAAATGGAATTTATTTGTAAGCCTCAAAACGTAACTAATGAACAGAGGAAATGTTGGTTTAGTTCCAGGAATACCTGCATTGTTTATTCTGGACCCTATTTTGAAATTGGATATATTTTGAACTTTGTGTTAAATTGGCCAAATTAACAATTTCCGATCACTTTAATTTGTACTTGAAACAGTTGACTTGGCGATTTCTTGTGCTCAATCGATAGAATAGAAGTAATACTAGTGAAATAGCTAAGAATTTGGTTGACTGGAATAATGTAATTGGCCTAAAATGGGAGTCAAAGTCGGCAAAATCGCCATTCATAAATATCGCTGACACATCAAAATTCGCGAGAGCATAATTTCGTCAATTTTCCATCAAATTTCGTACTTTTTGTTTTATTACCTTCACAAAAAGATTCTCTACCATTTCATAACAAAAAATAAAAAGTTTTTTTTTTTGAAAATTCTTGGACACTGGGGCACCACTTCAGATTTGGGCCTTGGACCCTGAAGGGGTTAAGAAAGCATAATTTCATCAATTTTCCATCAAATTTCGTCTTTTTTTTATTCCCTTCAGAAAAAAATTATCTATTATTTCTTAAGAAAAAATAAAATTTTTTTTTTTTGGTTTGAAAATTCTTGAACCCTGTGAACACTTTTCAGATTGGGGATCAGTACCCTCAAGGGGTTAACACACTGGCCATTTCCCACCAAGGTAGGGTGACCAAAAAAGAGAAACACTTTCACCATCACTCATTCCACCACTGTCTTCCAGAGGCGTGTCGATACTACAGTTCAAAACTGCAAACATAACCACCCCTCCTTCAGAGTGCAAAGCTCCTGATGATGCACAGATATGTGAAAGGTCTTGAGCTAAAGATTTCCATTTCCCCATGGCTTGTCTAGCCAATAGTTTTTATGACCTGATGAGCTGTTGGAGCATGAGGAAGGTAACATTTTGAGAAGGGATTCAGAAAAACTGGTTAGCCGGACTTGAGTCCTGGAGGTGGGAAGTACAATGCCTGCACTTTAAAAGAGGGGTTTGGGATATTTGCTGTTTGGAGTGACATATGAACTGTTGTATCTGAATGCCTCTGCAAAGACAGTGATTATGTGTAAATGATGGTGAAAGTGTTTTTCTGTTTTTATGTCACCGTGCCTCAGTGGGAGACATTCGACATGTTGAAAAAAAAAATTATGCATGTTAATGGTTCTTGGATCATCACTCCCACAGCTCAGTCACAGGCTGGGCTTCCTATATTAGAAGGATATATTATAGGACTTAGAAATGCCCTATTAAAAAAATACATTACAGTAAATAATGAATGTAAGTAAAAATGTAAGATTTACCTGTCATCTTATAGGTTCAAGAGACAGAAAGAAAAGCTCAGCAATCCTCAAAGAGTAAAAAATGTTTAAAATCTTCCATTTCAACACACATATAAAAGGATGGTAAGTACCTACCAGCCTCCCTGGATGGTTGCTACCTACCACTCTACTACCTAATATCAACAACACAGGAAAAAATATTAGCAACCTCTAAATTTATATCACTTTTTATATAGATTACTGTATAAGAAACACAAGTACAGCACTGTATATACCTGAAGAGATTTTTTATCCATCGTGAGCAGCTGCTTCAGCATTAATCTTCTTAATTTTGGCATAAGGTGCAGCCTCATGCGAGATTCTCGATTTTCACTAGAGCTTCCCTGTCCATCTTTACTTGAGCCTGCTCCCTCTACGAGACTCATGGAGCAAGATCTCATTCGTCCAGTACCAGGTCGTGATGTTGATGTTCCATTTGAGGGATTTTTTCTTAGGTCAATTACCCCAGAACTCTCCGACAAATGTCGCCGACGAGTGAAGCTTGAAGATAATGTTGAATTTACAGACCAATGAGGTTCTGCTCTTCCAACATCTGTATCAGAATAAGTACCAGAGTCCTCCTGTTCCTCTCCACATCCTATGTTATTCTTTTGCAAGACATTTAATCGCTTTCTTGAGGGTGCCTGTGGTATATCAAGAATGTTACTGGATCCACCTGCCCACGTCCTACTGATGCCCATTCTTTAGCACTGAATCGTATATCAATATCAAACTCCAAGCAGCTAGGGTGGCGACGGGGCATAGACAAGTCTTCTGCATTATTCTCTTCTGTAGTTTCTGTTGGGTCAACATCTATGTCATCATCTCTGCTGGCGAACATTCTCCTCCTACATTCTTTTTTTTAGCAGCAAAGAATGTCCTTCTCAGTTTACTTGCAGCTGCTGCAAGTGCTTTTTTCTTTGCTGCTTCAGCATAAGTAGCACTTTCATCACTTTTAGTCTTTTTCCCTATTTTCTCTTTGCTTTTATTCTTAAACATAGACCAGTCATCTCTTGGCTCAGTCAAAGAAGCACTTGTACTAACAGGTCGTATACTTCTATTAATGAACCCCAAGACTTAAAGTTACCAGGTACATCAAATTTACTGGGCTGCATCTTAAGATTACTTTTCTTCCCACCTTTATTTCCTCTTCCTTTTCCACTAACATTATCAGTATTTCCCCAAGCAGGTGGATGATAAACAGAGCTCGTTTTTCTGAAATCTCTTATCCAAATTATACCTTCTTCTGGAATCATGTAAACTGTCTCTGAATTTCTGGTTTTGAAATGATAAAGACATAGGTTGTCTTCGAGGGTCTACCTGACCATAGCTCGAGATCATGTCTCTGTGCATTGTAATTACTTCTAGCTGATGATTACAGCTACTTGATCTGTTACCATCTCTGATTTTTCTGACTGAGGTGAGACAAGGATGAAGATCTGCGGCGTGGATCCATCAGGTATAACTAGAATCGTGTCTTTGTCCATTATAATTACCATCTGAGTGATGATTACGGTTCAAAGGCCTATTATATTATGTCGTTTATTGCTATTTTTCATTACACGTGTGCCAAATGACCACTGTGGAACAGCCAGAATCAGGATGGGTATTTTTTTGTCATCTCTCCAACTAGGACCACTCAGATAAGCATCCATGGATTGTTTTTGCTGGGCCCACCATTTCATATCAAAGGTATATTGGCCACTATCTGTTTGAAAGTACCCTGGATGAGCTTGGGCCCAGCGCTGATGAGTTGCAAATGGAGGAGGAGCATGATGGCCACGATCTGAATTTTGCAAACATATTCGGTGCTCCAAAAGGGGCCATGATGCAGGGGAAAATGTGTAGATGGAGGGCCCATCAGTGACTGCTGAGGACCATGAGAGGGTGCCGTTGAGCTCTGAGGCACATTATTATCCTGCTGATTATCGTGCCGCCGTCGACTTTCACTTCTGTAATCAATTGGCGAAGGAGTGGCTCTCTGTCGTGGGGGAGACGCCCTGATGGAGGGGAAATTCTGTTTTCACTGCTTTATATTAAATTCATTGTGAATCACAGTGATTGCCCCATCTTCTTGATGCTCCTTGGGACCCTCACGCTCCCCTTGATGTCCCAACGTGAACGTTTTCATTCCAAAAATTTCACTCTGAAGAAAAAAAATTTCTTAATATTTTTTTAAAGTATTTTGAAACTGTATATGAAAACTGACTTGATGTTTCTATCTGCTGTTGTGAAGGGAGTAATGTATTTTCGTAACGTCCCTTAACATTTGAAGGAATATTAAAATAGATTCCTAAGTAGAGGAACCTCCATTGATTTGGAGGCAAAAGAAACATCAGCAAAGCCCATCTTTACATATTGTTGAGAGCAACCAGTCAGTTAGAAAAGATCTTTTAAAAATTTTGGGAGTATTAAACAAGGAAAGGGTTCTGGGAGTTATAATAAATAGCAATCTGTCACAGGAGATAATATAAAAAAGTTGTGAAAAAAAATATACTACTACCAAGCAAATCACGGGCCCCCGATGAACTGTTCTCAAGTGTTTATAAAGGAATGTAAAGAGAAAAATTTAGCAAACCATTAAACAAACATGGTATTAATGAAGATGGGACACCACGAGCATAACTCTGCTCCTGTTTGCTACAAAAAAGGCAATAACACCAAAACTACAAATGAATGAAGAACTTCTTTACTAATCAGTAATTGAACGACACCAGCATTGCCATGTACAGAATACAAAAAATGCACATTACAAAAAATTTCACCCAAGTTTAAGCATCAAATACTATTCCTTATTTTCTATAGCTACAGTGATACTGAGCAAGGTAAGTTCTACTGGATATTAAAAAAAAAAGGTTTTAAATTAAAGTTTAGAGTGCCACTTTCAGTTATTAATGGAATTTTGGACCTGAAATTCTAAAATGAGCTCTTTACCATGTTTTACTTGTAACATCTGGTGGAGCATATTGAATATGAGTAAGCCTTGATGGACCAAAACACGGGACTTGGACTTGAAATTAAAATAAATTTTTTCCAAAAGAACACCCAAAATTTTAAAGGGGATAATAAAAAAATGATTAAAATCAAGGGTGTCTCAGAAGGGGGTAAAGGGTATTTGATGTCTGATTGTTTTAAAAAAATACCCCTGAAAAAAAACCCTTTATATTTTAAAAATTTGGGTTTAATTTTATAAAATTTAATATATATATTGGTACTGTTTTTAACAAATTGAAATTGGTTTTAAATAATTATATTAAAAAAAAAAAAAAAAGAATTAATATAATAAATTTTTTATTATTTACAAATTTTTAATTTACTTAATATTTTAAATTAATTTCCCCTTTTAAATATTATATATTTTTAATAACTATTATAATTTTAACCCCAAATTTATTATTAAATATATTTATTTTTTAAACTAATAATTAAAAATATTTAAAAAAAGTTATAAAATAATAATATAATAAAAATTTTTATAATATAATATATATAAAATTTATATATATAATAAATATATATATATATATATATATATATATATTTGGTGACTATTTAGTACCATTTACAGTTTTTAATATTTTTTTAAAAAAAAACACTAAATCCTTTGGGGTCTAAGTATGCTAAATAAAAACTGATAGGAAATAAATCTATTGTGTAAGAAGATAATGCTTTTTGGTCCGTAGCTTTTTACAAAAAAACATTAATTTTCCCCTTATTTTTTTAAAAACTACCAGGCAAATTTATGACAAAAACTACGGGCAACTTTTGTTGTCCACAGTGTTCTCAGTTTAAAAGAGCTTTTTTTATTATTTATATTTTACATTACCACTGTATGTCTAATGAAAGAAATGAAGATAAAACCACTAAAATTCAAAAAATATTGTTTAGGGCAATAAAAAGATGCCCAACAATTTTCTTGTGGGAATGATAGAAAATTTTGGGAACAAATACTATCTTTTAACAGAAATAAATACCCCAAATAAAAGTGATGTCCACACACTTTGGCAAAAAAAATTTAAAAAATAAATGATAAAAATTTGTTACTTCCCTTGCGGAAAGGTGGTCAGAGTGAAAAAAATAACTGAGCAAATACTTTTATGAGAAACAAAAAATAAATTTGCGAAAGTACACCCTGTTAAGTACTTAAAACGATATTTATAAATAATTTAAGTTATTTACAAGAAATTTAATGAGATAAAAATTAAAAAAAATAAACTTTTAAACAAAATTTATATGGTTAAAAATTACAACTTTTTTGTACAGTAATGCAACATACACTAGGTTTTTTACTAACAAAAGCCATGTATGGGAGATGGCAAACTTTTAAAATCAGAAGGTACCCCGTAACGACTCTTATTCATAAATGTTTTTTTTTGGGGACACAAATTTTTGTGGTAGGGAAAAGATATGGCTGTATCATTTAGGGTTTTGTGTTGATTTGTCCGGGGGAAAAGGGGATGAAATAATGAACATCTGAGTCATGATTTAAAATATTGGTCAACACAAAAAAAAAAAAAAAAAAAATGCCTTTTTTTCAGATCAACTGGTCTAATTTTTATAGTGCCCTATGTTGTTTTAAATACATCATTTAAGCTTCCCCCGGTTTAAACCATGCTGGCAAGGATTACCAAGTATATTTTGTGTTTAGCTATTAGGAGAACATGATATTTCTGCCAAAATTTTTTTACATATTTTAGGTATTTAAAAATAAAAGATATGATATTGGGCGAAATTTGTTGGGGGGTTTCACCCCCCTTTTGGGGGGATAATACTGACTCTTTGATAATGTCTGAGTTTTTGATACTGAGTATGCTTGGTTGTATGCCTTTTTTTTTTATACTTGATACAACTAATGCATGGGTTACCTATTTAGTTTCGAAGATGATTTCTGGGGTCACTGCTCCTGCAAAACCTGGTCCCAAATCTGCCCCTATGGCTGGCCTTATCAAGCAGGGTGTTGGTTATGCTAATTGTAGATTTTTTTGTACACGATGGAATTTAAGTTTATTCCCATTTTGTTTTTAGTTTTCCCCAAATTTTAGAGGTTGTGGTGTGATAAGTAAAAAGAATAGGGTAGTTGCCCATAGCTGTGTTTAAAAAAATGTCATCCTTGGGGATCTGTTGCTCTTAATTTTGGTTTATATAGAAAATTTGGGAAAATTTTTTAAAAATTTAAAATTTTTTTGTTAAGTATCTGAAAAAGCAGTTTTTTTAGTGCTTTTATTTGTTTTTTAAATTTTGCAAAGGATATGTTTAGTAATTTTTTAAATTTGCTTAATGTGTAATTTTTTGTACATAATTAGCAGTTTTTTTTTTCTACATGCTAAAATTTTTTTTTTCATACTGCTCAGTTTTTTTTTCATACTTTCTACTAACAAAATTTAGAACTTACACAAGTATGTTGAAGCAAGAAACCTGAAAATCAAATAAAGCTCGTGGGCAAGAACTTTGGGTAGTTTTTAAGTGGGTTGGAAATGTTGCGATGGAGAGTCAGACCCGCCCGCATGGGTCAATGGGGGGACGAAAATGTTCCTTTTCTTACCCTATATTATGATGGTACAGTAAAAACCCCCCCATCTTTTCAACTAAGAAACCCCGATGTGCGTCAAGTTTCGCATTTAAAAAAGTTTGCCAAAAAATTCTTATTCTCTTCTTATTTCTTACATTATTATTTAAATTTGTTGAATATATAATCAATTATGTCAACCATAGGTGCCCCTTGTGAGCAACTTTGGGTGGAAGGAAATCTACCCGGGGAAGCAAAAATAAAAATGTTACATTTAAAAAAAATTAAAAAAAAATAGCTGGGTCAACTATTATCACTTTCACTGTCCTTCCCCTCAACATTGACACCCTATCATCATTTCTCTTTAAAAAAAAATGTGACCCAAAAATTTTAAAAATTAAAAATACCCAGTTTGTCTTCAGTTAGGCAATTAAAGGTAATGAGTGCAATGGAGAAGGGTTTTATGTTTACTGCGAGTTTTCCCTTTTTTGAGTTTTAAATTTTTCCCTAAAAAGTTGCCACATTTATGGGTATAGTGTGGGCAGAAACATACATAGGTCACTAGTGCCCCATCACCTAGCCTCGTCACAACTCCCCAGGGTTAACATTTAAACACCCAAAAACGAAATTACCCTTTGGGAAAAGTCAAATTTATGGGGCCTCAACTCCGAGGCTTAAAATCTTCAGCGGAGGGGAAAAGTGGGGTTTTCCCGGGTTGTGCAGGTTTCTGGGGGGTCGGGGGTCCTAAGGGCCCCCCTTGTACGTGATAAGTTTTCTCCCGGGGAGGGGGGGTGGGTCAAGGGGTGAAGTCAAAACATGGTAGCCTCCTCAGCAAGTGACGCCATATTTGTTTTGGTTGTGAGGGTGAGTGAGGGAGTCCTCATTCACCTCTCACCTCACTACTCTTATTTCTTCCTCACTCCTCTTCTCTTACATCATATTTTAATCAAACTCTATATATTTACAAATTATAATTCGCTCGTAATGAATTTTTACTTGATATTAATACATAATATTGTATTATCTTTAACTCATCACGGCGCACATTTTATATGGGAAAGTATCATCTCCAAAATTTTATTATTTATGTAAATAGCCGGTTAGGTTCGGTTCAGTCTTTGCAAATTTGTAAAGAATAATGCTAGCGAAACATTTTAAAGTGTAAAATGAAATAAAATGTTATGGTAGAGTGTGTAATAATGTTAATAGAATGTGTTGTGTGAGTGTTGAGGTTGATGGAGGTTCAGATGTGTGTCGTCTGCCAGACGGGAGACTTGTGCTGCGATCAATACTACACTACACCCGCCTTTGTGTCCACCCTTCCTCTTCTCTCCCTCCTAACACCTTAACGTGAGTATCTCAACGCTTCTCTTCATTCTAAGTCGCCGTCACCACCGGGACGATCCTTATTATAGGATAAGACTTACAGGGGTAAGCTAGAGCTGTGCTGTCACAAGTGACTCTGGTCTTTATCATCACTATATACAGTTTTTGAAGCAGGAGGCAGCTGTACCGCTTATTGTTCACTGTTATATATTTTTGTAGTGTTGGCACTGTTGTACAGTTTGTCCAGCGAGGTACAAGGTAGTGTAGCATCTTGTAGGGCTGACACAGGGGTCGAACCACACTACACGGTGTGACGTACCAGTAACTCTCCTGCACCCACTGTTAAGTAAGTTTACTTAGGCACAGGTACACACAAATACGATTATCATCGTGTAAATTTCTTAGTATAACCCAAAAAAAGGTCACTGTTGTAGGTTGCATCTTGGAGGATCAAAAACGAACCTTAAAGCTACATTGACTTGATTGTGGTATTTTGGGTTACTATCCTCTATATAAAGTTTGTGGGTTGAGCAGAAAAGTTTGTGATTATATTTACACTGTTATCCTCTTAGGTGGCTGAAGTAGCTGTCTTGAGTAAGAAGTCTGGTTTTTTTTTTTTTTTTTGTGCCTACATTACTGACTAAACATTGGATAGCTTTAAGGATAGCCTGGACCAATAATTGAATGAGATGGGTTGGGTTTGAGAAGGATCTACCATATATGGGTTATTAGGCCTACAGTGTTCCTCTGTTCTTATATGTGCATGTGTCATTGTGTGTGTGTGTGTGTGTGTGTGTGTGTGTGTGTGTGTGTGTGTGTGTGTGTGTGTGTGTGTGTGTGTCTGTCTGTGTCTGTCTGTCTCATCTTTGTGTGCGTGCATCTCATTTGTCTTGGGTAATTCATCTCTCTCTCATCCATGCATATTTTTGTAGTGTATGTCTCATCTGTATGTGTGCATGTCCTGTTTGTAGATGGGCGTGTCTCGTCATTTGGTGGGTGTGTTTCTTTGTGTGCTTGTCTCATCTATGTGCATGTGTACCATCTTTGTGTATATGTGTGTTTCTCATCTGCGTGTCTTGTCTTTGTGTATGTATGCACATATCCCATCTGTGTGTGCATGTGTGCATTTGTGCTTGTTTTTTGTGTGCTAGTGTCTCATCTTTGTGTCTCATGTGTTTGGTCTGTGTTTGTCATCCTCCTGTGTGGGGTCTCCCTTCTCTGTGTAATTACCTCTTTGTAGCTCCAATGATTGCGGCACTTACTACATATTTTAGTTCATTCCATTATTCCACCACTCTTCTAGTAAAGAAATTTGTTTTAGTACCCATTAGGCCCACTTTTTTTCTCACTGTACAAGTGTGGCCTCTTGGCATCCATATTGAAGGTCCAGTACTAAGAAATCTTTATCTGTTCTTTCATATTCTTTTATGACATTGCATATCGGTATATCTTCACTTGTCCCCCTATGGGCATTGCCTTCTCTTGTCCCACTATTAACCAGTGTGGGCATTTTGAGAGTGCAGGTGTGTATTATGTATGTGCATCTGTACTCCCATGTTTGTTATGGAGAGAACTCTCTTTACTCCTGGCCCTTCTCAACTAGTTTAAAAAATATGCATCATGTCCCCTGCTCTATCTGCCCTTAAAACTGTGTATAGATATGCTTCCTCTATATTTCATTTCTTAACCTCACTGAGGCTGAAATTCTCATCCTTGTAACTTATCTGCGTCTTAACTTTTAGTATTGCTCCCTTGTTCTTAGTTCTCACTTTATAAGACTAGGAGTGTTGGAAAAGTCTTTTGAACATCTTTTATGTTGATAAGACAAGTGCAACAGTTTGGTATCTTTATTCCAAAACGTTCACCTACACAGTAGGCTTTTTCAGTTGAATACAGAGGAAGCAGCAGAAGCAGTAGAGATGTAAAGACAATATAATGAGTCCAACACCCTCGAAGATTTAGTTTTGAGGTGGTCAGTCCCTCAGCCTGGAGAAGAGTTCTGCTCCATGGACTGGAACAATGTGAAGTTACAGAATGGAGACGTATATGTACTAGAGACTTGTACAGGTCTCCATTCTGTTGCTTTAACTTCACATTGTTCAAGACTATGAAGCAGAGCTCTTTTTCCAGGCGGAGAGACTGACCACCTCAAAACTACGTCTATGAGAGTGATGAACTAATTTCATTGTCATTACAACTCTACAGCTTCTGCGGCCTCTTCTGTATTCGGCTGAAGAAGCCTATTGTGTAGGTGAAATGTTTCAGAATAAAGATACCTAACTGTTGCATGCATCTTAACTTGTCTGTATTGTATACCATTATCATAGCCACATCGTCTATTATATTTGTTCATGCTTGTGTACCTGTCTTTTTGTAAAGATTTGTTTGCAAGGGGCAAAGATCTTGACTTGTGGCCTGACTTCCTGAGCTTCAGTATCTGGCATAGAATGCATTTCAACTATTACCACTTAGTTAATTCTATATCTAAAGGCAATTCAGAGATTTTCTTGATTTGCATAGACTGCCAGTCATACATTTAATGTATATGCAGTACTGTACTCCTTTGATATGCTGGGTGTGATGTTTGATTACAGATTCTTCTTTCATCAGTGACAAAAGTTTCTCTTCTCCCATTCTTCCGTCCCCATCCCCAGATTTCATAGCCTTCAGACTGAACTCCAGCATCCACTTCTTTGACCACTCCTTTTTGCATTATCCTGTGGCTACAAATGTTCTGTACTCATCTATGGTTCATCTGTGTCTTTAGTTTCCTGTGTCCCCTAATACAAACACTATCCCTATACGAGTTGTCAAATTTTATTATTTTCAGTTTCTTCAGTCTCTTAGCAGACTGAAGGACCAGTCTGGTTACAAAGCAGACTGAAAGACCAGTCTGGTTACAAGTCTTTGAGCCTTTCTGCGAGTGTCACTAATTTGAATAATAACCTTATCTCTTGACTGCCTCTTAGCCTCTAGTCACCTGTGCCCTAACATTTAATTTTGAAAGTGCATAGTGTTTGCTTTCATTTCCTTTGACATTTCATTGTATTTCTCTAAGACAATTTAACATACCTGTGGTTTATCTGTTTTTTCAGCTTCCACTTATTGTATGTCCCATTGTTTCCATTTCCTTTATCATTTCCTGTCCAGCTTATGTTACCTTGGATTGTCTGATACATTGGCCCCCTACAAAGATGCTAGGTTTAGCTCCTTTAACTTATTAAACCTGAAGGGGTCATACACCCCTAAAGGGCTGTTTATCCAAGGGTTTGGTGCTCCACCCATAAATGTATTATAGTAATGTAAAGGTCTTACAGCATCTGGGGAATGGGAGGCAATCAGGTTTGACCCAAGAAAGGGAAGGCCAAATCCAATTCATTGGGATAAGAGCTCTTTGCCTGCATCAAGGAGCCTCTCTTGAGGAGTTCAGAACTATAATTAGTTGCAAACCTATGCACTCTCTCATTTTTTTTTTTGTGCTTTACTAGGTGTGTGCTTCAGGATGGTGCACTGTGTGTACTTGACAGTAGTTCTGACATACAGTATATTATATTTAGTGCCCTAAAACTTAGTTCATTACCTGGTATCTTAAGTTTGTAGCTTCACATATGGCTGTTATTTGGGAGGTGTGGTTCTGGCAGCTTTCTTCCATTTTATGCTTTAATTCTGATGCAAACACCATAACACTGCCACATATTCCAGTTTATTTTCATTTCACCATTCAAGTCTGAAAGCTATTTTAGAATCTGCAAGTACAGTATAGGGTATAAGTTTTTACAATTTCAGTTCTTTTCATGACCATTTTTATTACTGCCAATCCCTCTGTCTAGCACTCACTATTTTGTCAGTTTATATTTCCTTTGTGTGGGCTGCTTTTTCCTTTTCTCATTTCCATTTTGTGGCACATTTCCACGTTAAATTGTCACTCCTGCAAAATTTATTCGTTTCATGTAGACAACCAAGTTATTTGGTTGATGTGTCTGGCTAGATAGCTCATGTTTATCTGGGCTAGCAAAAGGTACTTTTGGCTCCTGTTCTCTTTAAGCTGCTTTGACCAAGATTTTGATTTCTGGCCTACTCTGAAGACTATTAAAATTGTTTCCAACTCGTCATGCCTGAAAACAAATGGTATATAATGCCAACACGATAGTGTTTTGCCTACACAGTGGGCTTTAAGTCACAAACAGATCTGCCTGGGGAGAGGATGTGCATATATTCAATTCCTCTGAAAATGTGTATAATCACATGAAAGCTCTCGGGTGTTTTTCCTGCATTCGTTGGTATTTTTATATTGCAGTCACGCGTTTATTGTAATTTCTTCCATATACGTAAAGGGAACGTAGTGACATGAAGAGTTGGGTGCTATATGTTGAGGCTTATTACTTGGGTAGGGGTTGAAAAAAGGTTGGAAAATTTACGGCGTGGATGAGGTTGGATTAGAAAAGAACCTGCCTAGCTTGGGCCAGGCCTGCTGAAATGTTCCTCTTTATTGTGACCTGTTGCTATGTGAGATAATGATCAAGAGTGGCAAATTTTTGGTTTACACATAAGATAATGAGTCTGTGGTGGTGTGCTAACTTCTGACCTTCTACAGAGCTAATGATGTGCATTTTGCCCTTTACAAAATGAAATAGTTCTTAGCATCTGGAGAAATTAGAATGAAATGGAGGTGACAACATTATGAAGGAAAGCTCAACTTTGAAGTGCTGTAGTTTGTGTACATGCAACCAGTGGGAAGTTGGTTTAGTATGGTACTTGCAATATTATACTATAGTTAGTAAACTTAAATTTTCAGGAGCAAAATAAAGGTTATATGCCAATATGAAGTAATTCTGCTTTTAATTTGTTACAAATTCTGTTCACTCTTATCAATAATGCATATTAGTGACCGGGGATTACATTTTATGCATGTATGGTATTTTTTTTTTATTTCAACACATTGGTCCTCTCCCACCGAGGCAGGGTGACCCAGAAAGAAAATACTTTCATCATTCAACACTTTCACCTCACTCGTACATAATCGCTGTCTTTGCAGAGGAACTCGGATACAACGGTTTAGAAACTGCCAATATCTCAAACCCCTCCTTTAAAGTGCAGGCATTGTACTTCCCATTTCCAGGACTGAAGTCTGGGTAATCCTGCTCACACTCCAACAGTTCGTCATGTCCCAAAAGCCATTCTTCTCCATTCACTCCTATAACATACACATGCTTGCTGGAAGTCCAAGCCCCTCGCGCACAAAACCTCCTTTACCCCCTCCCTCCAACCTTTTCAAGGACAACCCCTACCCCGCCTTCCTTGCCCTACAGATTTGTGTGCTCTCCAAGTTATTCTACTTTGATCCATTCTCTCTAAATGACCAAACCACCTCAACACCCCCTCTTCAACCCTCTGACCAATACTTATAGTAACTCCACACCACCTAATTTCCACACTCCGAATTCTCTGCATAATATTTACACCACACATTGCCCTTAGACAGGACATCACTGCCTCCAGCTGCCTCCTCGCTGCAGCATGCATGGTATTTGTAGTCATATAAAACTATTGAATTTCAAATACTACTACAAACAGTTTTAAACTTGAAGCAGCAGAAGACCTTACAAACTTTAGCAAACCAGCTTTTTTTGTGGTATTATTGTAGCAAGAAAGTAAATTCTTATTATATTTGGGTCATTTGTTACATTTTTCATTTTGAGTTGGAGCAGCAAACATTTTGATCTGGGCCTCTTTTATAATGTAGTAATTTTAATTATAAATTGCATTTTAGTTCTATATTTTGTGAAGGGTGGGGGGAGACCTTGGAATTGATAGGATTTGGTTTTGCTTTAGTATTAAGATTTAAAGTGGAATGACTTTTAAAAGGGTATTACATGATTATAAAATACCACTGTACATGTATATGCACAAAACAAGTTTGCAAAATAGGAGATGCTTCCTAACAGCCAAGTGCACAAGAAACACACGCCTAGTTTGAAAATTCAGCATTTGCTATATTGTTGATTTTCTAAAATTGAGAGTAAAGTATCTGCTGTTCGAGTGCCGATACCGAACGAATTTGTTTTCATAATGAATAATGTAAATTAGATTAATCCGTTTCAGACCCCCAAAAATACACTTACAAAAACACTTGCATAAATACACTTACATAATTGTTCGAGTTGGGAGCTGTTCGTATGCCAAGGTACCACTGTATTTTGTCTTGGTGCTTTTGTTATTACGTATCAAGGTACAAGCGGGAAACTGGGAAATTTTAAGGGAGACTTTAAATTATACCAAGTTGATGTTGCTTTAGCTAATGCCAGATGCTTTAACCTTGTGTTATCATATGTATTTCTCTTCTGAGTGCTAATTTATGTGAATAAGTTTTACTTCTGGGGTTAATTTAGCTTTTGGTAGATGCAAGTAAGTATGGATTTTTCATTCCAACATTAAATTTTAAAACTTTTCAAATCAGCAGGAAAGATACTCGTGCCTCTTTATGTTATTCTTGTACAGTTATCTTTCCAT